TTCCTCTACGTGATCACTGGGACGAATCATTCCACTCATCCTCCGTTAGTGGGTGCAGGAATACGGAGAAGCTTTTAAACGAAGTTTTGATCGAGAAGTAGGTCCTACTTGCTTATTGGAAGCCTCCATTTCCATGGAGTTAACGTTGTTTTCTGGGCCTGAAAAATGGGTCGCCAAATACAACGCATTTACTAGAACGGAGTCCACCAGGACGATGTTTCCACCAAAACCAAAACGGTGTTTCTACAAAAACGGTGTTTCCAACCGAATGGAGTTTCAAGGCACCATAAATTCATTTTGAACGGCTCCCAAACAGGCACTTAATGTTGTTTTCTACTTAGCGCAGCTCCCAAACGGGCCACAAAATCTTCAAATTCATCCGAAAAAGTAGGAGGGAATGATAATTCTTACTTATTTCGAGAAAGAATCCTAGTAAACACTTTAAACTTAAATAATTCTCATCCAAATAATCCAAAGGTCCCATGCCTCTTCGTGGACTGAGATTTAGACACTCCGTAACCCAACCCAGCGCGACCCATATCAACACATGACAGCTTATCAGCTAGATAAGCCAAACCACCACAGAAAAAAAAACTTAGCCAGTATCTAATCCGGCCAGGCCAAGTAATCTCTGTCGGCGAAAACCACAAAAGTCAATCTTGGCGTTTTTTCGCCCGTTTCTTTATAAACCACAGTTCGCCCCTTCATTCCAGCTTTTTCCTCAAGCTACTCGACTGCACCCGCACTCCACCCCCTGTCTAAAGCCAGCGGGGTGGGTGCAAACCTCACTGTCCCTTTTGTAGGGGGGCAGCGTGGATTAGCCTCCTCTGGCACCCGCTGGGCATAACGCCCCAGGGTCCAGAGGGGGCTTTTTTGCGTTAGGTCGTTTTCACGGCCTGCTTGTTCTTTCTTCCCCTTTGCCATTAATTCTCCTGCCTCGTAGATAGCTTTCTATCCTTCCTTTTTTGTTTTCTGGCCTCTTCTGGTCTCTGGGCGTTTGCCTGGGGACCAGAAGGGGCCTTTTTTGCGTTAGGTGATATTCTGTAGTTTTCGTAATTCCTCCCTTCTCGATTTCAGGCCTCTCCTGGTCCTTAGGCTTCTGCCTGAGGGTTAGGAGGGCCTTTTTTGCGTTAGGTTTACATATCTCGATCTCCTCTGCTCCACCATATTTGCGTTTAAATTAATTCAAGCCTCTCCTGGTTCTCGAGCTTCCCCACTGGTAGCTTGGACTAGGAGGGGCCTAATTTGCGTTAGGTCGACCCTCTCTCTCCTCTACTCCCTCCAGACCTCTCGGTCCTCCAGCCTCCGCCCAAGGCTCAAGAGGGGCTAGGGTTAATCAGTGCAGCCCTCCTCCTCTGTCGGCGAAAAAACGAAAATCAGTCTTGGCGTTTTTTGCCCGTTTCTTTATAAACCACAGTTTGCCCCCTTCATTCCAACTTTTTCTCCCAAGCTACTCGACTGCACCCGCACTCCACCCCCTGTCTAAAGCCAGCGGGGTGGGTGCAAACCTCACTGCCCCTTTTGTAGGGGGGCAGCGTGGATTAGCCTCCTCTGGCACCCGCTGGGCATAACGCCCCAGGGTCCAGAGGGGGCTTTTTTGCGTTAGGTCGTTTTCACGGCCTGCTTGTTCTTTCTTCGGCTTCGCCATTAACTCTCCTGCCTTGTAGATAGATATGTAGCTTCCTCCCGTTCCTTTTTTTGTTTTCAGGCCGCTCCTGGTCTTTGGGCTTCGGCCTGGAGATCAGGAGGGGCCTTTTTTACGTTAGGTCTAAGTGTTTTGATTGCCTCTCCTCCACAATATTTGCGTTCAAATCAGTATATTCAGGCCTCTCCTCGTTCTCGAGCTTCTCCAGCTCGGACCAGGGAGGGCCTTTTTTGCGTTATATTTGCATGTATCGATATATCTCCTCTCCACCATGACGTTTAATTCAGGCCTCTCCTGGTTCTCGAACTTCCCCAGCTCGAACCAGGAGGGACCTAATTTGCGTTACGTTTGCCACACCTCTCCTCCACTCCCTCCAAGGCCCTGTCGGCCCTTCCACTTCCGTCCAAGGCTCAAGGGAGACCCAATTCGCATTAGGTTGTTAGGGCTCACCAGCGCAGCCCTCTCTCAGTCGGCGAAAGACACAAAAATCTAGTCTTGGCGTTTTTTCGCCCCGTTTCTTTATAAACCACGGTTTCCCCCCACTCCAACTTTTTCTCCCAGGCTACACAACTGCAACCGCACCCATCCCCTGTCTAAAGCCAGCGGGGTGGGTGCAAACCTCACTGTCCCTTTTGTAGGGGGGCAGCGTGGATTAGCCTCCTCTGGCACCCGCTGGGCATAACGCCCCAGGGTCCAGAGGGGGCTTTTTTGCGTTAGGTCGTTTTCACGGTCTGCTTCCCCCTTTGGCGTCGATTCGCACTCCTCCTTTTTCTTTCTTCCCTTTCCTTTTTGTTTTGGGCCTCTTCTGGTCTCTGGGCTTCGGCCTGGAGGCTAGGAGGGGCCTGAGTTGCGTTAGGTCTGCCCTTAATTCTTCTCCCTCCTCTGCCCCCTTGCCGTTTTTGTCTCTTCGTCCCTGACCTCTTCTGGTCTCTGGGCTGCTGCTCGGGGGCTAGGAGAGGCCTTTTTTGCGTTAAGTCTGTAGTGCCCTTCTCTCCCTCTCCTACCCCTTGTTCTTGTCTCCTTGCCTCTTGTGCTCCCTCCTCGCGGAGGGAGCACGGGTCTCACTCGATTTCTGGGCGCCGTTCGAGGAATTGGGTGAGATCTTCTCATGTGTCCCCGTTCGGCCTACGTTACAGGTCTTTCTGCCTGAGAAGTTGGTAATGCTTTGCGACTCCACCCCCGCCCCTCCCCGTTTTCCCCTCTCCGCGCGAGGGAGCGGGAGAGGACGCATCTGCTTGTTTCTGGAAGGGAGCGTAGGTGTCTGCCTTAAGTGAGCTTACCCCCTGGGCTGAGATATAGTGGTTCTTATGTATACTGAGCTTATATATATAACTTAATAGGCATGGCCTATAGTACATGTAGGGCGCAAAATGTCCGGAAAGTCATATATAGTCTTTTCATTAGATATAAGACGTCGATTCTTGAAGTTTTTTCTTGTCTCGAACCATGTCCGGAAACCCCGCTGCACGGGTGGTCTAAAGCTCTCTTGACGAACGTTATGCCAACAGGAGCATCATCTCTGCGGAGGAACTCCAGGCTGAGGTTCGATGTATTCTCGAATCATGCCATCCTGCCAAGTCTCGAGGTGGTCGAGTGATAGCCCATGAGGGAGTCTATACCTAAATAGGCTCGTGCAATTTCTCAATTAGCTCCATAATCGAATCACCGCGTTTAGTCTTCACCGCTCTAGATACACGCACATACATGTAAGATATTGTATCGTATTGCGAGTTTCGAGGAAGGGTATACCACAAACTCTTCTCTTCTCGCCTTATCATAGAAGCAGTACCACAGTTGGCTAGTCATAGCACATCACTCGCGCCAAGAATCGGCAGTGCGAGACCGAGCATGGTGATGTTTGAAGAGGAGTGCTGACATCTCTATGTGTCTATCGGACTCGTAGTTATCCGTAGATCTCTTGTATATAGAGCGGGTATGTTAAGGGGGAAGTACATATACCCAGAAGCAGCACGAGCACGACCGGTATCCATATCAGCAGCGATTGATAGCTATGTGTATAACCACTGGACTTTGACGTTTAGAGCCGGTTGGCTGGCAGTTATTGCTTTGTAGGCGATAGAAGTTGAGAATCTTGTAGTAGCGAAGACTTGATAATAGCATGACGCTGATGAGAGAAGCTACCTAAGTAGATTCCCCCCAACCTCTTAATAGAATCATCGTCTCTTCGAGTCACCTCCTGTAATCTCCATAGATCCAGCTAGAGCCGACGCGTATCGCAGGTGAAAAGTGGGGCTCGATTTGTCCACTGGGCCAGGATCGAGTGAAGTACAGGCGTTGCCTCTCCACATTACTTAGCGCACGGAGAACAACCCTGTCTCCTGCTAGAGACACTCAGCAGCGGCCAGGACATGAATGGTATGCCATTTTCTAGAGATCTCGATCAGAGTTCTGGTCCGACAATCGCATGCAGATTGAGCTATCTTAGCTTCTCGCTACTTACATGTATCTTTGTAAAGTTGTAGATGCATGTAGAGTACACGACACACCCCTTATAGTAAGCTGGCCACTTTTCTAATAGCCACGTTGTATGTAATAGCACCTAACATTGGGTTACGGCCAGCAGCAGGCATCACCCTTAAGCCTTGGACATGAATACTGATCATGGCAACCGAGTTTTATATAAGGCTGCCAGAGCACTCGAAGCTTTTGTACACTTCTTTTCCAGTACACTTGGACCGTCGCCTATCAAGTTAAGTAGCTCGTTCCTGGAGATATCGACGGTCCGAATATATACAGCCTATAGGACTGACTGACTGCCTACATGTAGTTGAGTGCAATGATTCTCTGGGGAGATTTACATAAGGAATATAATATCAAGCTGCCTTCCAAATAGCCCCTAGAATTCATCTGGCTTCTCGAACGATCCAGCAACGTATCCAATTAATGAATTAAACAAAAAAAACAAAAAATCCAGCAACGTATCGATACAGGCCTTCTATCAACTTAACCAGACCTTCTCCCTCTGAGCGCCAGGCTCAGAGAATTATCAGTCTACGCCAACCAATACCAATACCCACGCTCTGCAAAGCTCAAATTTACCATCTCAACCTATAGTAGATAAGTCATCATTACCACAGCACCAGGGTTAGGGTTCCACCGCTGCCGAGCTTTTCTAAAAACCCTACCAAATTTTTAATCGATAAGTGAGCAACAACCTCATTCAGGCGCCCCCACCACCCCACCAAGCAGCACTCTACTACATACCAAATCACCACCCATACAATGGGCCAAGGCAGCTCCGCCGAAAGCGATCCCAGCGGCGCCGCCGCCCCAGAAACAACAGTCAAAACCTGTTACTACGAGCTGTTAGGTGTTGCGCGCGACGCCACGCAGGATGAGTATGCGCGGCCCTCCTTCTCCTTCTCCTTCTTACAAAGGCAAAGCTAACGTTGGTGTCTGTGGTGGTATAGTATCAAAAAGGCGTACAAAAAAAGGCCCTCGAGTTCCACCCAGACCGCAACTACAACGACACAGAGCGCGCGACCCGGCTGTTCACGGAGGTGCAGGCGGCATACGAGGTGATCTCTGACCCACAGGAGCGCGCCTGGTACGACTCTCACCGCGACGCCATCCTGCGCAACGACGATGTCGGCGGCGGCGGTGGCGGGGGTGCCGGCGGATCAGGGGGCGTGACGAGCGTGACGACGACGGAGGACGTGATGCGGTGGTTCTCGATGTTTGGGCGCAAGCTGTCGTACGAGCCGTCGCACCCGCAGTCGTTCTTCGTGGTTGTCGGGCAGGCATTTGCGAAGCTGGCCGAGGAGGAGGTGGCGGCGGCGGAGTGGGAAGGGTTGGACCCGGTGAATTATCCAGGGTTTGGCGGCGCGAACAGTGGGTATGCGGATTGGGTAAAGGCGTTTTATGTCGAGTGGGGGAACTTTCGCACGGCCAAGACGTTCAGCTGGTGTGATGTGTACAGGTACTCGGATGCGCCGGATAGGCGCGTAAAGAGGATGATGGAGGCGGAGAATAAGAAGTTGAGGGATGCGGCGATACGGGAGTTTAATGATATCGTAAGGGTATGTTTATGGCGCTCTCTTCGAACCTCCCCAACCCCCCGTATTCTATTGTAGGCTCCATGGCTGACGGGTGAGATAGTCCTTTGTCACCTTCGTGCGAAAACGAGACCCCCGCTACACACCAAACAACCAGACCGAGAAGCAGCGACAAGAAGCCCTCCTCGCCGCCTCCAAAGAGCAGGCCGCCCGCCAGCGCGCCGAGAACGCCGCAAAGCTGCGGAACTACAAGGCCGCCGACTGGACAAACGTCCCAGAGCACGCCTTTGACGAGCTGTACGACTCGGAGTCCGACGACGACAACGCTGCAGACGAAGACGGCGAAGAGCAGGCGGAGGAGGATGAAGAAGAAGAGGAGGGAGAGGAGGAGCTGGAGGAGGAGCCGAGACGGTACGAGTGCATTGTGTGCAAGAAGGTGTTTGCGAAGGAGGGCCCCATGCTGGACCATGAGCGCTCGCAGAAGCATGCGAAGGCCGTGTGGGAGCTGAAGAAGCAGATGCGCAAGGAGAATAAGGAGTTTGACCTTGACCGGGACGTGCGTGGGTGGAAGAAGCCGGAGGAGTTCAAGCCCATTGACGACGACGACGAAGACGGGGAAGAGTACCTCTCTGCAGAAGAAGAAGAAGAAGAAGACGGCCTCCCTGCTGACGAAGAAAAAGCCAAATCCCCAAAAGAAGAAAAAGGGGAACCCAAAAAGCCACTAGAACCCACATCCACACCCACAGCTAACACAAAACCCCCCACTACCACCTCCCCCACCCCCTCCGAAGAAGAGGACTCCGACCTCGACAACGACGACTACGTCTCCACCGCAGCCTTCACCGCGCGCCTCCGCGGCGCCACAACGCCGCCAACATCAGACCTCTCAAACCTCACGCTCACTACAAACTCCGACGACGACGGGTCCTCGAAACCTGCAGCGCAGAAGCTCGGGAAGGCCAAGGCTAAGAAGGCGAAGCGTGCTGCGGCGGCAGCGGAGGAGAAGGGCGGGAAGCCGAATACGTGTGCGGTGTGTAAGCAGAGCTTTCCGTCGAATACGAAGATGTTTAATCATCTCAGGGATAATCCATCGCATGCGGTGCCGGTGGCGGGTGCTGGGGGTGCGGGTGTGGGTGGCGGCGGGAGTGGGGGCGGGAAGAAGGGGAAAGGGAAGGGGAAGGGGAAGAAGTAGTGCAGTGGTGAAATGGGTATGGATGGAGTGGGGGGGAGGCAGGTTTGCAATGGCGTTGGGTTACAGCGTAGCTTGGGTTAGACTTTTTTGTTTTATTTTTGTTTTTGTCTTTAGAATTAAAAGTTGCTGTCTTCCCCTTTTCTTTTTATCGGAGTTGAAAATAGTTGGGTTGTTTAAATTTGTGTAGAGTGTACTTCTTATCCGTATGGTTCAGATAATTGGAGCTCAGCTGAATACATGTATATAGATGCCTTAACTTTTTATGGTGTGTAGGGGCAATAGTATGTAGCGCTTTTCTCGATTGCGACAACATCGGAAGTAAGTAATTTGGGACAGCAGAAGTCATTATTCAACAAAGAGAGTCCTTTTATAAGTTTGTTTTTGGGTATCAAACCAGTTTTTCAGTATTTTTGACGTTGCACCCACCCATGCCCTAGTCATTGCCATAGACTACAGTCGTTTCTGGGTCAACGACGAACCCGGCTCGATGACGAGTGGCTGCTTTTTGGGCTGATAGTCAAAGCAAAAGGGTCGGGGCGCTTTTGTTGGCTTTTGTTGGCTTTGATTGGCCTATTCGCCATCGAACTGGTTTCGTCGTTGACCTAGAGACGACTGTAAGGTCTGCATGCAATCAATGAATTAAACAAAAAAAAAAAAAAAAAAGAAAACCCATGCTTTAGTCTTCTTTTGGGACTAGCCGCATCCGAGTGCGAGTTCATGATTCTGAACGTTCGAACACCCGCGCGAACCTACCTACCTACCTACATGTACCTACCTTACGCCGTGAGTACCTTCTGGGGGGAAACACCAGGCAGAAAGCTTTAGGACCGACCACCAAGCGATTCTCCCTATAATACCAACACTACAGCTCTGGACCAACGTCGCGGAGTCTCAATCGATTTGAATCATGGGCCATCACTCGGCCATAGGTAGTTTACGGTTTTTAAATTTCTACGGCACTTTTACGAACTGAAGGGGCGGGGTGTGGAGAATAGACGAAGGAGGCACAGACATAGTGTACCTAACGTAACTCAGGCCCCTCCTGGACCTTGAGCGGGAGAAGCTCGAGGACCAAGAGAGGCCTGAAAAGAATGGGAAGGGGAGAGTTAACCTAACGCAACTCAGGCCCCTCCTGGTCCCTGGGCAGAAGAAGCCTAGAGACCAAAAGAGGCCTAAGAGAAGGAGGAGGGCAGGGGGAATCTAACGCAACTCAGGCCTCTCCTGATTCCCGGACTGAAGCCCAGAGATCAGACGAGGTCAGAGACAAAGAGAGGGGAGGGGGTGAAGGTGGAGGATGGCAAAGAGGAAGGAAGAGGACATGGAGGAGGGAGGAAAGAGGTAAAAGGGAGCTAGCAAGGAGTAAGGCCTTAAAAACGACCTAACGCAAAAAAGCCCCCTCTGGACCCTGGGGCGTTATGCCCAGCGGGTGCCAGAGGAGGCTAATCCACGCTGCCCCCTACAAAAGGGGCAGTGAGATTTGCACCCACCCCGCTGGCTTTAGACAGGGGGTGGAGTACGGTTGCAGTCGAGTAGCTTGGGAGAAAAAGTTGGAGTGGGGGGAAACCGTAGTTTATAAAGAAACGGGCGAAAAAACGCCAAGACTGGCTTTTTGCGTTTTTCGCCGACGAGGAAATTCTTGGCTGGAGGGACTGGCTAAAACTGTTTCCTGGGCACTACATGTAGGGCAGCGAAAAAAATTTCTACAAAAAATTGTTGCTAGATTTTTTGCCTGTGTAAATTATGAAACTTGGCTATGCGCAAATGAACACTTACAGTTGCGGTTTTTCCTAATCCTAGTTACTTTTTTGGGTATTTTTCATAACGTTTAAAGTTTACCGCATTATTAAAATAAAATGAAAACTATTTTATGTAAAACTCTATCTACAGATGCTTATATATTTACTCAATCAAGAATCCGGATTTTCTGGGTTGGTAATTAATTTAAAAACTTGGAATCGTAATCTATATATGAAGTTGGTCTGGCCTTAGATTTATGTAAACGGCTGTCATTTGGCTATACGCTTTATAATGCTCTGTAAAGCTTACACGGTATGGGAAGGGACCACGCTCACTGATATCTTCTTCCCCCCAGATGGTATTGATCCCAAATTTATATGTATCTAAGAAGACCGAGAGCAGTAAGACTCAGGCAAGCTCTTAGCTTACCACGATCTCACTTTGGTGTCAGCTAGAGGCGGCATCTCTCTTCCACACTGCGATTTTTTTTCCTTAGCCATCTACATATGTATAATTGTTGATCCAACCACTTCTCTTAATTAGCCTTTCGTGGTAGTCTGGGGTGAAGTTTTGTGATGGTATTTCATTTATTAAGAGTATGGTTAGAGAGGAAAAAACTAAAGACATACAAACCGATTTTTCTGGGCCCTTCTAAAAATGACAGGAATTCAACCCTAAACAGAAGGACACGCTGCCTCACCCACACATGCCAAACTACTATACCTTTAATAATAGCCTGCGTAGAATCAACAAACCGTCAGTTAAATAATCCAATCAAATAACTAGCTTCAAGAAGAGAAATTACTTGAATTATCTCGGGGATCGTCAACGCCGTTCACAATTCGCAATCATTATCATCACTCTCGTCGTCCGCCCCCTTACTCCTCCTCCTCCTCGTCGTCTTCCTCCTCGTCTACCTCCTCGTCATCATCTACCTCGTCCTCATCAAATTGGCTCTCGCCCTCCTCTTTACCCCGATCAAGCTTTTCATCCATCCTTTCTCCAACTCTCTGCCTTTCCATTACCATCGCCTCCGCCCCCTGAGCAAGCTCTTCGGTTGGGTGTTCGTACTTTATATCTTTCTCTGTTAGAATCTTTCCGTGTAGAACCTGGCCCATATGTGTGGCTGCAAAGTTCTGCCCCTTTCGTCGGCAATTCATCAATTTCCTCAGGAAAGGGACAGGGCTCTTGGTGAAAAGAGTAGGTTTCATTCCCAGCGCAATACGGGTTTTGTCACTTCCCACGAAACCATCAGTCCCCGGGACACCTCCCTCCACATGAGACACATGATCTTTCAAGCACAAGCCAAGAAAATCACCCAATCGCTCGTAAGTCTCATAATCTTGTAGAAATAGTTGTCCAGAAAAAATGTTGAGCTGATCCACCAAAGCCTTCGGGGCGCTCCACCCAGCGTCTGGAACTGATTCAATTGAAGGTATAGTGCAAAACTTTAAATCTTCAAATGTACGCATATATTTGGTGACCTTTGGTGCATACATGTGAAGCCTCACGGCATCGTGGGAGATTATGATGGGAAGCAGCGCGTTAATCTCGTATGAGCTCATTATCACTAGATATGTGTTTTCAGCGAAGCTTGATACCAGCCAATTTACTGGAGGCAGGAAAGCATTCATATACGAAAATCGCGATCCGTTTGTGGTTGTTGCAAAATCCCTGGTGATTAATAGTCTTTTGCTCCAAGCATCTTCTTGAAATTCCGATCGCGACTCCTGGAAAAGATCGAAGGCCGGGACAACAGCTGTAGATTCTTCAGAAAGCGTACCTGTCTGGACAAATTTTTTGATGTCTGGGTGGATAGTATGACGTCTTGCGGCTACGGGACTAGGCAATTCCCTTTGTTGCTCACGTTCAACTTCAATCTCCAGCTCTCTTTCTTGTTCTTCGTGCACCTCAGATCCCCTTAGAGACGTGATGGAAAACTTCTTACAGTTTTCTTCGATCAAAGAGATTTCGTAATGACACTCTTTCGGAATAGTTCCTGTATGGAATTGTTCTTTGCCCGATTTTAGCGGTCCAAATCGCTCTTCCAGGGATTGTGCGTCTGGTTCCACCATTATGGATTCCATTTGCTTGACATCCCTGTGCAGCTTCCAGGCCACATTCCGGTTTTGATAACTGATCCCTTGTCTTGCCCATGTCTGCACAGTATTCTTGGTACTGATAAAGGTTTCATGCATTGACCACCGCAATACGTCTGAGACGCTAACAGAATCCACTGAGCTTTTTCGTGCGGTTACAAGGATCTTCTGGTGAATCTCTGGGGGCGCGCAAAAGATTACTGACTGGCCTTGACCAAGCTTCCGCATCCTCATACACGCTGCACAATATTTAGTGAGTATTCAACAGCTTTCAATACGATTACTGACCTTGTACAAGTCTGTCTTTTGTCAGATTTGGGCCCAAGGTGACTGCCGCTCTGGTCTCCTTTGGTAGCTTTAGGTCTGTACCTCGTGTGTGTACCTCGTCAAGGTACACAAGACACTCATCCATCTGTTTAGCAAATGCGGAAATCATCAACGGCTCCGGGTGTCCGTCACGAGTAATGACAGTAAGCTCATCTTCTTCATTAAAATAAACGGAAGCCTTGGACTCTGGTACACGACTGAGCCAATCCCTTGCTACTTCAAAGTTTCGCTTTTCCAACACTTGAGCCCCTACATCAAGGAGCACCCGTATCTGCGGATCCTGTTGAACCAATTTATCCAGTAAACTATCAACATCAAGACGTTGTTCATTTTCACCCTTGGCACATAAGTAACTATTTTCCGGTTGCAATAGATAACTGAGTACTTTCGCATTTGTATTCAATTGCCCCTCAGATTCGTGCTGCTTGATCGATAACGGGAGAAGATGTCGGTTATCGTTTGTTCCACTAAAGCCAGTGGTTGGATGCTTTTTTGTTTCTGCAATATCCCAACCTGATGAAGACAATTTATGTGGAAATTCCCTTACTTCTGTAGGGAATACCACCCAAGCTAGGTAAAAGTCAATGGCTGTTTTATTGTGCCGAAAGCGAGGGAATATAATGTTCGTGCACTGTTCTTTATCAACCAAGTTGATACCACTTAATTCTCGGAATATAGTAGGTAAAGTGTTATCCTTCTCTACCCAAATTGCGTACTCCATTCCTGGGTTGTCCGATTTTAGAAGGGTCGCAAAGCAATGTTCTAGCTGCGTTTCCGTCAGGCCAGCGTAATAGTAACTCAGACAGGTCAGAGTAATTGCAACGTCTGGATGGCTGTACTCTGCCCTTTGCGCTGGGCAATCCTTGGCCCGATATGGGACAGCTAACATCGAACGGCTTAAATCCAAACCATACTCTACTCGCCATCGTTTTTTCCCTAACGCATTGCATAGAATCTCACCGGCTATTAGGCCTCTCAATAACAGCAAGGTAAGTCTTGATATGTCGTCCATATCCTTGAATAGAGGCTCGCTTTCAGCCTCCGTAATACCCTGTTTTGTAACAAATTGAATCGCTAATTCGCGGATGTAATCGGGAAATAGTCTAAAGGAAACCGTTTTGAGACGACCAGCGAAGACGTCTTCTGTGATTCGTGACATTAATTCGTCACCGGATTTTGGCTCCAAAATACGAGTTGTCGGAAAACTTCCCGGAAAACTTTGGGGAATGCCCTTTACTTCTACACCTTCCATGGCCTTTGTATGCACCTGTATTCGACCAAAGATCTCCTGCACAATGGTCCAACGATTTGGAGAAAGTTCGACTGAGGTACTAGCCCCGACAGTGTATATGAGCTCATGCTTTGTGTGCAGTATCTCATCGCTTTCGTCAAGAATGTCCCGCGAGTTCCTCTCAAGCCAGCGTTGGCATCGAATCAACGCCGAGGCAACAACTTTTTCTCCTTGAGGCATGAACAGGAGGTCAAGTCCCATAAGTTTAAAGGATAACAGGTGCTCTGGTTGAACCAGAAGAATCCCTCCAACCTCCATGCACTCTTGATACAAATCCTGGATATTTCTGACGGCCTCCTCACCCAATTTTACTTGCCGAGAGAAGGGCATATAGAATATTCGTCTGTTTGCTAGCCCGCTCAATTTTTGTACGAGTAAACGGAACATTTGTCCAGATAATGGTTTCAAAACAACGACCCGAACAAGTTTCTTACCATCCGCTAAGGCTGCAGAAACAATAGGCACAATCACCGAAGATTTTCCTTCACCCATATTCAACTGCAGAGTCTGGTTTTTCCCCGAAGAAGGTGCTATCATTTCTAGCGCAATTTGCGCCTGGACAGGGCGCACTAGGAGGTTGTTATCAATGGATATGAGAAGCCAATCTGAGTAAGCAACTTGACTTCGTCCTTGGCCACCAGGATTTTCTGACTCTCTCGCGAAATCATCACCTCCGCTCTCAGAATAATCGAGAAGACGTTCAGCACGTTGAAACATAGTAACTGCTTCGCCATATTCTATGAGCACTTGCCTCCATCCAGGACTCAAATCTACTGAAGCATTGCTCGCTAACCGTTGAAGCAATGATATGGGCGATATGTTTGGCCAAAGACCTGTCATACCCATCATATTTTGAATTGCTGATACAGGCCCCAATGCTTTCTCGATAATTTGGAATATCGACTGCATACGATTTTCGGACTGCAGTCGATGTTTCAATAATGTTTCCTTTGAAGGTAACCCTGAAAACACTGCGGCACTTTTCTTGTAGAGAGCTTCATAACTGTTTAGCATGTTATTAGCATACTCTTTCTCGAACTGATTGGAATGTGCCGCTTCAAGCTCCAATAATAGCGACTTCAGCTCGTTTTCGCCTTGAGAAATTACAGGTTGCGCATTGATATGGGCTGGGATACCGGTAACATCGGGTGGTATTCTCGAAAATATTCCTTCTAAGGTTACCTTAGAATATGAAGGAGCTCTGATTTTTTTATGCGAATCAAAGGTGTATTGTGAGCGGGTCTCTTTCGGACCCAGGTTCATGTTGGATAGCTCTTTCTGAACCACATCAATATGCTGCAAAAACTCTGTATTTTTGTAGCAACTCTGAAATATCGGTATAATAAGACTCATTACTTTTTTCAGCTTAAAGTGAGTATATACTCCCCTGGAGTTCATCTGTGGGTAGGAGGGCGTATGAACAGGCCATTGAGCTTGCAAAAATGAAAACAAAACCTCTGCCTGAGACTTTAAATTGTTTTCGTAAGTATCTCTTCGGCGCTGTTGTAGTAATGTAGCGCTTTCCCCGTGCTGCTTTGGAAGACGGGCCTCCGGACTAGACTCAAATGGAATCGCATGCGTCTCCGCTAATCGTATATCCAATTGGGGTATTTCCCCATCATGTAAGTTATAGGATAAGTACGGTGGTGGGCTTATACGTGAAAAATTTTCATTTATTGCGAATGCGAGCAGCGTGCCAATGATTGACATATCTTGTTTCCCTGAATACGCCATTGTGCATAATGTAAACATCAACCGATATTTACTCTGCATGGTAGTGACTCGAAGAGTGTTGTATAGATCAACCCAAGAATCGAGGGTTAGGTCCAGAACACTGCGATTATATTGAAGCACTGTAACTCTAGTGGAAGACCCGCAAATCAATTCCCAGCGCTTGAGTAGGCCTTTTAAATTATGGTGTGTTGCTAGATTTGTGGACCATTTTTCGATAGATCTTGCAATATCCCAGATATCATTCTTTAGTTTGCTGTTTTGAGGAATAAAATCCCGTGAAGAGTAGACCGAATCGTTAAGTTCGGTATAATTTGCGCCCCCAAATTCGTCCCTTCGGATTGTAGCGTTGCGAATGGCCGCTCTCCTTAACAGATGGTCGCTAGCGTTGGATAGAAGGTCCTCCAGATCTAACGTTTTATCATCAACTCTGAGCATATGGAAACGGCATGCGTATTTGAAAATTGAGGTAACAAGCAATTCGAAGTCCTCGTGCTGTGTCAGGTACGGAAGACGCTTCCATTTTATCGTCTGCATAACCCTCTTATGTTTTGGATAATAATCGCGAGACGGGGTGAGTGACATTATTAGCGTTAGAAGTTTGATCTCTACATCCCCCAGCTTTTGAAAGGACCAGGTGGTCGCTGATTTGAGATTTGCTAGCGCCTCCTCAGTGCCTGTACGTCGGGTAAGCTCATCTGGTAGACAGTGTGTAGTCAAGGCGTGAAGGTATGTTTTAAAGAGATGGCTAGTTAGGCTGTCATTTCCCACGAGTCGCCCGAGTCTCGTGTCGACCGTGTAGTGAAGATAGGGAACTCTATCCAACCCGTCTATATCTGTCTCTATCTCAACGATAACATGACTTCTTTCTGTTTTATACCTAACATCTCCATAAGGAATTATGACGCTGCGTACCGACTTCTGACGCATGACAAGCCTATTCACAAGGCCAGTGAATGTTCCAATATCTTGATTAAAATCAACAACCATACCCCTGAATTGTCGGCACTCAATCTCTCCTTTCTCGTTTATAAAAAAATCCATTTTTAGTCGAGGTAGATGAATTAAGACTGTACGAGTGTCAAGTGCAAAAGTTATGTCGATATATTTCGGTGGTTCCAACCTACCTAATACTGAGGCGATCATTGAGAATGAAGCTTTCCGAATGTCCATCATACACTCATTCCGCAGCACCATTCTAGAGGCCAATCCCAAGTAGCTTAAGCGCCAATTCGTGGCTGATGATTTCCACGGGTCGGATTTAGGCCTGAACTCGAGAACTCGTGTCTTGATTTCCAGCCAATGAAAGTAGTTTTTGGTAAAGTGTACTGGAAAATCGCCTTGTAATTTTGTATGGGGTACAAGCTCATATTCATTCCCATCAATCTGAGCTTTTATGAGAAGTTCATCCCCTTGCATCCCGAAATGTACCTTTTAAATCCGTCAGAAACCTAGCTACTGTAATCAAAGACGTAGGGATAAACCTGATGTCCGAAGACTTGGTGCCGGGCCTGGAACTGCATCCCTGGGAGATTTGACGGGAAAACGTCAAGAACTTTCTAAAAAGCGAACGCTTATTAGCTTTATCTACAACTTTTACTAAATCCGACTCACTAACCTCCAAAAACAACCGTGTATAGGTGGGGTGTAAAATATAGTCTGTCCCCATTCTGGCAAGCGGCAACCCATCGACAAGTAGCTGACCGCTAAGCAAGTTGTATTGTACTTCCTGTGAAGCATTTCCAGATATTGCAGCAGTGTTTGTTTTTATCCATCTGCTGTTGGACATACTCCAGAGTGACCCTTGTTTATACGCTGACCACATCCTCAAAATACATCTATTGAGACCATCATTGCTTGAAAATATTAACCGTTCAAGATGCTCCTTAAGTATGGCAGATAATCTTCGGTCTCTATCCAGGAGAAAGTGAGTTTGGGGAGAGAGATGATCCATCTTTGGAGGAGTGTTATTGTGAATGATGATAGCGCATTCGACCAAAGTTGCGACATCTGCTCCTGTGCTAAGAACATGCCAAAAATCACAGTGATCAACATCATAGGTCGCTCGGCATATAATAGCCATTTGTAGTGCCCGAATTTTCAGGTCTTCCAGCTCATCTTCCTTTTCGCATTTCTGTATCTGGGTGGTCAACTGACGGGTCCACTTTAAGGTCACAGCACGAGCCTGGCGCAACAAGCAAAATGCACTATTCCTAATATCCAAACTACTCGCTACAGTCAAAAGACGAGTAGTTAACCATATTATTGACTTTGCAGAAACTCCCTCTAACCAATTGGCCTCGATACTGGTAAGCATACTACCAAGTTCTTGGAGGAGATTGTGCCCAAAAGCAGTGTCTTCAAGTATTGTAAAACTCTCCCGGGTTGCACTAGGACTTTCAGTGTTGGGAGGTCCTGTATACCATGCAGCTTGCATGAGGAGAATATTCACAGCCTCATTTCTAAAAGTCAGTGTGCGAGTTCTCAACTCTCTAACGATATTCAACCACTGAAGACGATGTCCAGCCTTTAAGAAGCCAAACGCTATATATTCATGGAAGGAGAGTGCTTTCGGACATTCGTGTTGTCTCGAAATAACCTCGTTGGGAGTGTGCGTCGTGGAATTGATTGCATACTGTAGTTTTTGGTAAGGGCCTTCGGGAAGCTTAAAGGTGCATATATTCTGTATATCACACTTATTAGCACTCACACGGCCATCTACCCAATTTAATCCAACGCTATCCCATAGCCCATATTTCAGAGCATTATTGACACAAACAGAGTTAGAATTGTTTGTTAGGCAAATCTTCGCATAGTGTGATTGTGTAGTTGCCTTCGTCACTGATGAAAAACGGAGTCGTTGCTGGCTTCGGCATTTAAAATATTGTCGTAGACCACAATAAGTGTTGAGATCCGTAAATGGTCGTGCATCGGGGTGTTCCAAAATTAAAGGGGGGCTGAGAATGTCAACCATGACTAGGTAAGTGGCATCTCTCCAAGCACAAAACCCAATAGGGCATTCGAGCTCAAAAACAACCATTGCAAGACAATCTGGGTCGCTTGGTAGAGGCCATTCATGAACTTGGATGCTAAGAGTATTTGCATACTTTTTCCATCTACATTTATAACACTCTGGGTCATGATGGGCCCTTCTTCCCCCATCACTGTGAATATAATCGCATGGCCGCTCTGCCACCCGAGCGACTGCATCGTTGTAAAGTCGTCTTTTCTCTTCGAACTCCTCAATTTTCTTTTCCCTCTCTGCAGTTGCATCCAAGTCTATTTTCTCATGAATCGATTGATGCTTCGGAGAGTTGAGATAGTAGCGCACAGCAAAGGTTTTCGAACCGGCTTTATTAGAAAATATGCATGTCGCATTTCGATCGGCCTTTTCACGGCGCTCTTTTAGGTATATTTCAATCCGATGTAAACGTTCTAACTGATGATACCTAGGGAGCAGAAGATGGTTGAATGGGCGGTTTGCAAATTCTGTGAAAAAATATTCTGACAAGAGTGAGCACGTGTTCACCGCGATCTTGTCAAGGGCAACCCATAGTTCCATCGTAGTTAATATGAGAATTGACATGCTTTCTGGATTAGAAACATATGCCCGTTTCCCATGAAGCGTGTACACCTCGATGCTTAAGCATAGTATACGACAGGCCTCTTCGTTTTGTAGATTCCTCATAACCCAGCTATCGAGGCTCTCCCGAACCCAGCGTTCAAAATCTATAAAAAGAATTTGAAGTTCAGATGCGCTCTTATCTCTGACCGGCAATGGAGGAATATCTTTTGATTTGGGATCAATACGTCTCTCCTCATTCGGTACATATACTTTTGACTTCACAATAGTCGGTATCCTAGAAACTGCTGCTGCAATATATGCCCCGCTTTGAACCAATGATAATTGCATATTGTCATCAGAAGAAAGAGCCTGAGGCGTCCATTTGAAAGGTGTTGAATGAGCTTGATTGACTTGTTTCCACCTGCACCCCAAGACCTGGGTAACTTTACTTAACTGATCAGATACCCTCTTCAATAGAAATGCTGGCAACCCTCCCCTTTTGCCCATCTTGAATGTACGGCGTCCCAATTTTGCATTCATAACGAATAAAGTATCGCTTGGTAGGTTTCGATCTAACGCAATCTCCAAAATTTCCGTCATAAAGAAGACCATAAACGCTTTGTATTGAACGTATCCTGAAATTTCAGTGGGACGGTCAACTGTAGATTGCAAGGCAACTCTGATAGTAAGCCACAAAGGAGACCTTCTCCAAGGGAGTTCCGTATCATCCCATAAGACATCATCTGCAATTCTTTTCTGGATACGGTGGACTTCTGCAGGTTTCCCGACAGCTAGCAATATTTCGTTAAGAAGCTCTGTTATGTACCTTGGATTGGTAGTTTCTCTAGTTTCAATGTGATCTGAGCCACCCTTCCGGGATGTCGACATCGCATCTTCAAGTTCATCGACGTTCATTTTCTCGAGGAAGCACGAAAGCTCTAAACGAAACTCAACGCTCTTAGCCTTTTCAATGCTTACGGCAACGGCGGGACCAGGAAAGGAGCACAGTAGTCTCCCCTGGCACTTCATAACATCTTCAGATTTTGGAGAAGCTTCAAACGCTTCGAAAATGATGTCTTCTTCTGTTTGACGCAAAATGAGTCCCGCATTTTGCGCTTGAATGTGCAGGGCTAAAACATCTATAGAATTTGTTAGGAAACCCTAGAGACATCATGTTTATGGAAGCATCACCCCCTGTGCGCATATTCTCTATAGCCTTATCCAAACCCCGGCTGGACAAGCACCCTCTTGGCTGGATTTCTTCCATCATTGAAAGCATTTTTATGCCTGAATCCCATTGTGATTTTGATGCTGTTAAACCGCCCTGGTATGCTTTTGCAGAATCCTTGATCAGCCCTAGGAGGCTCTGAATCTTTGGTTCAACACCCACATCTGCCTTGCAGGGCAGCTTCGGTGGGAGGAAGACATGATTGATGATGTATCCCAGAGTAGAGTTATCAATTTGTCCTGCGCAATGAAAGTAAGCAGATGTAACGTAGCAACCATTTCTGGGGGGGGGGGGGGGGGGGGGGGGGGCGGGAATGTGTTCATTAAGTCTTGTGATAATCAAGAATTTAAGACCGTACCTGACATGTTTGTTTTGTTGGAGAATACCACAGTAGTACAAATTTAAACTGTGGGGTCGGGCAGTGTAGGGGAAACTTTTTTATTTGCGGAAGAGTGGTGATACGATTCTTCTCGGAAATTTAGTGCTTAGTAGGGAGGGTAATGCTGTGTGTGTGTGTGTGTGGCTGCAGTATGATGGGGATGGACTGGTGTGGTCTTCCTCTGTCGTAGTCGTGTTACCCATACCTTCCGTTGGTTACCTAGAATTCCAGCTCAGATGCATAACGACTCAAGTGCAAAAAAATTTCACTTCTCGAGCAATGCCTAGATTTTCTTCGGGGCGCGTAAGTAGGCCAAGATACATGTAAACAGTAAATAGGTTGTCTTTTTTGGCCTTTCGATTCAATAACATACACATGCCTTTGCAGTGCTAACGCTCCTAGGACTACACAGTTTATCTGTCATTCGGCTTCAACAGAGGTCAGTCCCAAGGGTTTATAAAGGGATAACGTATGAGTTATTATAGAAAAATGACAGGAGCTGACAAACCCTAAGCCGATAATATTCCCCGCGTTTATCTCCCAAAACATACAGAAATAAAGATCCCAAGGGATCAAGTATCCAAACGAGTAAATATTTACAGCTAGAAGAAAGGCAACATCAAGAGATGAAATTACAGAAAAACACTAAGAAAACGCCACGAGAATTCGCCAATAAACGCCATGCTAAAATACCCTAGACCAAACATGAAAGAGGGGTCCAAATGCAGACTCCCAAAGATCGACTACATGATGGCGCACGAATCCCTCGATGACCCTCCAAACATATCATGATGAACCGATTTCCATTGCTCCATGGCAACCTCTTTCTCATTCTCTTGCTGCTTTAGCTTTGCCTCCTTCGGGAAGTACTCCTTCAGAAAGGCCAGTAAACTCATATCCAAGTTTGTCGAGTCAGCTGTTAGCACTGCATCACTCCGACACATTGGACAGCGGCGGGTCTTTGCACGCTGGAGCTTGACGAGACAGCGGACACAAAAGACGTGGGAGCAGGAGAGCCGCACAGGCTTAACGGAGATTGAGGAGCAGATAGGGCACAAGTAGTCATCGAGTTGAGGGATGAGATTTAAGAGGGAAGAAGACATGGTGTAGCAGATTGCTTTTGCCAGATGAGACGCAAGGAAGGAGTCGGAGGAGATAAATTCTGGGAAGGTTTCACGGGCTCCTAGTGCGGTGCGTTTGTCGAATTCTAGACATTAACTTAGTAGGGAAGCTCTTACTGATGAAGACAGCAGTGGGGGTAATACTCTTTAGAATCTTGGTCATAGCGATCTTGTTGATTGCTTGGAACCGCATCACCCTCAACACATCCATGTTTATATCCATAAAACGACGCAGCAGGTTCGAGCTGTAGGGGTTCTTGAACTTGGTTTGCAACCCCCGCCTGAAGATCTCCTTATTGAACCACGCGAGTTGCTCTTGTGCTTTCTCCGCCGTTCTTTCTTCGTGGTTTTCACATTCTAGGTTTGAGAAAAATATACCACTCTCCACATATACCCGGAAAATTTCACGCCATGGGTATAAGTCGGACTTTGAGTTTGTGGACTTGGGGGCTGCAACCCCGGTGACGGCACCACCAATATCAAGCACTTTCGATTTGATTTCTGTCTCGGCTCGATTTTGGAGTGCTTCCAGAGACGCTAGCTCGGATGTCAAAAGATGAAAAAACTCTGAGTCCGAATAAAGAGTAATCTCAATGTTTGAGACGCTAAGGATGTTAGACATACATACATCAAGAGGATTCTGTGCGACATACCTTCTCTTCTTACATGGGTGACTAGTGGCAGGCAACTCGGAACCTGGGAAACTTGTTTCAAGTCCCGGACTATCGGGCCCACTGTCAGAATCTGATTGGCTCTCTTCATCGTCGTCCAACTCCAGAATCGTTATGTTCCCAAGCTTTTGTTGAACTATATTTTCCAAAGACCTTCTGGTCTCCTCCGATAGGTTTAAGTCTAATGGTATCCCGTTTGCGGCGTCTATGGTCAAGACAAGTTTCGGCTGGAAGCATTGGACAGTACCTGTTACCCAGAGATCAGTATCAGGGGTTTAGTCCGGAGAGCTTCCAAGCGGATCATTACCGTCAAAAAGATATTGGAACAGAGGGCTATGCTTTGCTGCTGGATCGATGGGATCACTATTCTGCTGCACAAGGCTTCTCAAGATCTCTGCAGTGAGTCCCAGTTCGCATAGTTCTTGCTGAACCTTCTTTATGCATTTCTTGAGCTGTTTGTATCGAATAGCAGCAGCCTGCCAATCTGCCGGGAAGTCCTCCTCGTCGAGAACCTGGGAGAAAGAGTGGGCAAATTTCATGGTGACAAATCTTTTTTAGAGTGTTTGGGGCAGGTGATGATGTCTCAAGCAGGATTTACCGAAGATAGGTGGGTGGGGTTGCGACAGCAGACAAAGTCTCAGGTCTCGTTCGTTTCCAGGCACTTGGGATGACTCGTGATGATAAATGTAAATAGATCGACTACACAACACTCGGAAATGGGGGGAAACGTCTGAATTTATTCAATCGTGAGACTCTAGCGAAAAACGTCCTAATAGCGTGGCGAGGTAAAAATAACAAGGCGAGGAAAAACCACGAGGTCTTCCTTGCGAGAGGGTTTTTTTCTATCTCCCACTTCCCCCCTCTGGCAACTGAGCACGCGACAGTTTTCCTATAGTAGTCAAGCGAGGCTTGATTCGCAGATGAAGGCTTGCAGCACCCCCCAATCCAGCACCGTTTGTGCGACACCGGTTCCAAGAAACGGGGTAAGATTTTGTGCGGTGGCAAGTCCCAACCAATCAGGCTGACTTTGCAGGAGGCCTGGAAAACGTGTATGCGGATCCTAGAGGAAACTTCGGAAGCGAAGCCCGCTTGAGGGTTGACACAGAGGCTCAGACTCGAGTCCAGAAAATTTTCAAGAACTTTAAAGCCAGTTCAGAAGCTTCGGTGAGAACTTCTGAGATATTTGTGCGCGTGTATAAATGCTGTGTTCACGAGTCATCGCTGGCGCTTACTCCTCGGGGAGACAAGCGGATTACGAGATGCCAATTGCTGTGCCTGCTGAACCAAGCAATGCCAAGCTTTTTGACACTGGAGATCCTCGTCTCTAATGTTGTCTAGCCCCAACTTGGGATGATTCCGAGGGGTCGCAAATCTTCTGATGAAGCAGCAGAGGTTAACAATGTTACCCATTTCCTCTACTTCTACTATATATTTTGCGATACTTCTTCCCTTCAATAAAGAGACTGTTTGCTCTAGAGCATGGAGGAAAATGACATCTGAGTAGCTATCGTCAGATTCAGGCTGAGTGGTTACTTGTGTGTGTTCCTGCGGGGTATTACACTTCAGCCTTTCGAGTTTATATCAGTAGCCTCTTCTTCGCCCTAATATATGTCACGTACGTATAAAAGGCTACAGAATCCAGAGGGTTTTCTCGGTCTTGTTGCACACACGATACTCTGCCTTGCCCAGCCTATTAGCCTGCACTGTATGCAGAAGCCGCATGTCAGGCAACATACATCGAGTGATACACAATACCTAGAAATAAGAAAACATCACTGACTTCACACGAATCAATCCCGATATCACATGTATGTATTTATGTGCATATTGAGTAGATAACAGATATCAAAACTCAACTGCTCAAGATTAAAATAACGTATTCATTGACCTATATCCTGAATCTTGACGGAGCTAATTGGGATTATCTGAGGGCAAACCCTAAGTTTCAATTCTTGGATTTTACTATAAATTGTCCTTCTCCCCCACATCTCTCTTTCTCTCCCTATGCGATTTTACTTCATAGGATCATTTCTATAGTAAACCGCCTCTTCTGAACTCTTTACCAGAGCCACAGAAATCTCCAACCTGGGCGATGACGGTATCTCCTCAGTGCCCAAGAGTGATGCCGTTTTGTCTCTGCCTCGGCAGTGGTGGCTATGATCTCGGCCCTTGTCTCTCGTTCGCTCCTTTAAAGTTGAGGGACAAGGGTGGGTTCTGATGGAAGTCTGACAGGTCTTGTCATATCTTTTGTCTTGTATGACTAAACCTAATGCAAAATAAAATTAAAACCACTTGACCATCATAAAATTCTCCAACAAATTGATTTTGAGCGTTGTGCGGTTGAGCATCTAGTAGACAAATAAGGCTCTCCGCCACAGCCATCACATGCGCAATCGTCACAGCACATGGAAATATAACGCAGGAACCAAGATGGAAATCCCGCATCCAAGGACTAGGCCTACTCGACGAATACAGTGACAATCACTCCCAGCCTGAAGTCCTGCACGATCTTAGATTCCCCGATGTGCAGAATCATGGTACATTCGCTCACCTACTGACGGCGGATCCTGTCTGATGGTTCTGTTTGCAGTAATTTGCCCTTGGCGTCCAAAACCTAACTCTTTTATTGGCCTCAAATCCCTGACCGCCGTCAGACAGGATCCGCCTTCACCCCGTGAGTGACTGTACAGCCATGCGCTCTATCTACATGGGATAAAGAGAGATACCCATATCCAAGGCGCAAGGAGTCGAACGTGCGTGATCTGCGGAGTGTTTTACAAGGATATGGCCTGTTTACATCACCAGATATGAGGTCAAAAGATGCTGGCGCAAACATCATCGCATTTTTAGGACTTCAACCCGTTCATATGACCCATCTCACTACATATACTCATTACCAGATTAATCTCCTGATAATCATTTTCTTCAACCTTAACTGTGCTAGTGTAAGTGTCTGCAGTTCTTGCAAAATTACCTATCTTGAAAGCGATTTAACATCTGAGGTGTAACAGAACTGTGTGTAGTTTTACTTATTATTCCCAGCGCCAGTATCCACAAATGGAGACCATATTAAAGCTATCAATTTATACCAACCGTCCTATACAAAACTCCTGATGAGAACCCTTAAATAGCCCCTATCAAACAAGCATAAAAAAGATCGAACGCCGCAACAGCAAATCCCCCTAATGTAAAAATGTCTCAATCGAAGTGATTGGGTTCCCTATTAAGTCTGATCGTCCCCGCTACGAACGTGAATATTTAGGTCGCCACAGGCGCCCTCCCCATCACCCCTATGATTTTCGAGTCGGCAAGTCTATTAGAAAGAATGACAAACAACCTATTATTTAGTTCTGCCTTGGTACCCGTAACATGTATATCCTTGTTGGCTTTTCCATGGAACTCAAGATTTCTCTTCAGAGCTGGCAACGTCAATGCATCCACTCTGGCAGGATCCTGCACATAGTCTTCCGGAATATCAACCATATATTTCTCCTGCCGCGTATTGAGATAGTTGATGCATTGCTCAGGTATCGATAACAAGCGGCAAGACAGTGGAAGGACGCCCTGTACGAAACGCCGCAGACCAGGCATTGTGATCGATGTCCCCCGGAGGTAAATAGCAGCAAGGTTTGGAAATGCCGATAGAGCAACACGTGCATCATCGTCAATCAATGGGTTGTGGGATAGATTTAGTCTCTTTAAAGTATGTCGATGGCACACTAGGTGGTGAAGTGACTGTGTTCCCACGCCGGTTCCGGTGAGGTCTAAACTCTCAAGATGAGAAAGTAGACGGAGGGAGGCCACATCGTCATTTAATAACTGCGTATTTCGAAATGAGATTACTGTGAGATTGGAGAATTGATCTTGTTGAAAAAGCTTTTTTACTATTTCACTAAAAGGTTCTCGGATAACAAACTCGCCAAAAGACGCTGCTTGGGACGAAAGCTCAAGTGATGTAAGCTTTGACGCACGAAAACAATCCAGTAGCTCCGGACTCCAGCAATCTAGAAATTTTGTTTTTAGCTCAGATCTGTAGTAGTTCCATTGAACGACCCAAAGAGTGAGATACCATTTTTAGTTATAAGATTGGCAGCGTCCTGGGCCGCATCTTTAACTACAAGTGAAACGAGTTCATCGAAAGTCTTAGTTGGTAATTTTTCTTTCAACGTTTGATGCAAAGAATTTGAAGTATTGGAAATCTCCTGCAATGGGGATCTTGTTGAAGCTGCAATAATATATTAGAATCAGCACAGCGACAAGTAATGTCTATTTTCTTTATAGAGACAGAGCAAGCCTTACTGGGCTCCAGGGCTTTGGCCTTATCATTAGTCGGCAAGTTTGCTCTCCTGCGAGTAGGTTGTTTTCCATAAAACGACTCATCCTTATCGATTGGGTGAAGGACGTCACTAGAGCTAGGGTTGGTAGCTTTCTCCTTCAGAGCGACACGTCTTGTTCGTGGAGCCGCGGCAGCGGCAGCGGCAACAGGGGATCCTTTTCTAACACGAGTTTTCTTTCGTGGCGGAGGTAGACGATGGGAGCTGTTATTTTCATGTCTCTTGTTGTTTTCGTTGTCGTCTTCGTCGCAGTCTCCATTGTTTGTAGCGATGGGCGGTGGTGTTGACGCTACCTCTGATCCATCTTTAAACACGGCCATTTCAGCTGTTCTTTTGCGAACCATAGTTCCAGCACCTTTGAGGAGTAAATAGAAGTGTTGAGTCGATAGCGGGTCCTATTATTTGTGCTGGTGGGCACATGTAGGTTAGTAGAATGGGATGTAAAGTGGTGTTGTTTCTCGATGTTGCACTGCAGGGCCTGAGGCTTGTGCTAAACCGGAAGTGTCTGCAGCTGACGTTATCCCGACACAGACCACATAAAAGCTCCTCCCGACCAGCTACGAAATGATTCTCGGGTCCTACATGTACGTACTTGCTTACCAGCATATGAACCAGAAAATGCGAGTTCGAGAGTCAAGGATTATTTGTATGGAGTAGCGCCGATCTGCCATACAAAATAGACATTTGCATTTTCTGGTTCATATGCTTGTAAGCAAGTAGAGTACATGTCTGTATTTTGTTCGTATAGGCCCACATCCTAAAATTTATGAATTCAAAGCCACATAACTCCTTTCATCTCTGATCAATAGTAATATATGTCTTGAGAATATTTACTGCTTCTAATATAAGTACATGTAGTATCTCTTTTATCCTGAGGATTTTATGGATTTTGGAAACTAGAGCAGTTGTTTATATATTAGATTCGGTCACAGATTGTGATTCGGACTGACCGCCCGAGGTATGTAGCATGATTAACGTCATCGATCATGATCACTCAAGTAGGTATCATATAGCTAACAAAGCCCACGCCAAAGCTTGCCTCCATCATGACTTCGAAAGTTTCGCTACTATCAATACCCGACGAAGTCCTCATAGATGTTATTAGATACGTGCCAGATGATGACATCTTCAATACTTCTCGCGTATGCAAGAAGCTCTACAATATCATTAACTCGCCATTGCAATGGAAGGAAAGATGCCTCAAGCTCCGCTACTGGGAGCCAAAACACAAGATAAAAGAAAAAGTCAACAATCCTTTGCCATTGGAAGTGGATTGGAAGTCACTATTTGTATGGAAATGGCAAGTCAACAGTCGAACAGCCAGGCTATTGGGGGAAATCACATCCTCGTCTGTACATCGCATTCCAAAGTTTCACGAGATCGGAAGCTTTGATTATGATGCAAAGGAGTACCTTCTGGATCAAACAAAGGCTTCTAAAGATTTAGAAGATGTACTTGCACGAAGGTAATTCTTCAAATTAATATGTTTCCTCCAGATGATAAGCTAATTGCATTTATCTCTCAAAGATGGTATGCAACGTCAGCGCTTCAGTTTCTACATAGAAGACGGGCTGTACAAATCTTACGGAGGATAGCTACCGGTGAAGATGTTTCAATTGAGGAAGGACTCAGTTATTTCGATCTTTTCAATATGGAGGCAGACGAGAGTAGTCCAGAGGAGGCTGCTCAGATCCTCGATGACCTAGCTTCTCGTTTTATATCCCAAACACCAAGCATGAGCCAGCCATCAATCAAGGAGAGAGTACTGGCCTTGTGTGAATTTATGAAGCAGGAAGGCTTTCGGGCGGCTACTTCTGAGGAGTACCGCAAACTCCACAGCGCCTACATCGGCACATCGTTACGTACGACTCGAGCGTACATTCCTCTGCCATATGCCGCCATCTTTTGCAGCTTGGCGAAACGAATTGGACTTGACGCTCACATGTGCGGCTATCCATTCCATGTCCTGGCGATAATCAAGGAAGATAACGGTGAAAGCATCTACGTTGACCCATCTTGTAGCAAAGGAGATGAAAGAATACGTGATCTCAATGAATTAAAAAATCACCTTCAGGGGTTGGGAGTCGAAAGAATGGATTATCTCCGTCCATCGCCTACACAAGATATGATTGTTCGCACATGCCAGAATATTTTTCAGAGCCTACGACATGGAATCAATTATATCGGGGCAGTTGAGGGGCGCCGACATTCAGCGGCACTGTCTCGCTGCTCAGACATGTACGCTTCGTTAATGGCATCGATACTGTTAGGACGACAACGCGGGGCTGGCGGCATTTCCCATGAGCTACTCACGTTTATGTCTGAAGATGTGTATATGGATGTCTGTTTTCTGGAGGAGGATATCCTTCGGGTGGCGGGGGCAAATCAAGCACTCCGAGAATCAATAAGCCGAAAGTGTACCTATCTTCGGGATCTTGATTCGGCCGCAAAACCTCCAAGGCGAAGGTCGGAAGAGAAGAAGGCCATTAAGGTCAATCACCTACCCCCCTTCCTATATATCACAGCTCACCTATTCTTACTGAATTCTTGCAGTATACTGTGGGAACCGTGTTCAAGCACAAACAGTACTGTTACAAGGCTATAGTCTTTGGCTGGACACCAACATGTGAGCCCCCAGGCGGGGAGGCCTGGATCCAACAAATGAAGGTAGACAATCTACAAGGTGGAAGACATCAACCATTTTATCATTCACTGTTCGTTAAATAACTCCTATATCCTTTCGGATGCTTCTAGGTCAATATCTAATGATATAACAGGGTCCAAGACGAAACAGAACGCTATGTAGCCGAAGAAAACATCTTGCAGGTCAATCACCGAGCGGATGAGCTTCCGTCAGATCTCTGCGAGATTGCAGGAAAGTACTTCAAAAGATACTGTGAGGAGGATGGGTTGTTTGTGCCAATTGATACGAGCGCATATCCTGAGGACTGATTTTTACTGGGGGGAATCTTGGTACCCTGATACCGACCATTTTAGTACAATTTGTTTTCTCGGTGCACCGAGAATAGCTAGCACTGGGAGCGTTTCTATTGCAGAACCGGTTGTATATTAAACATCGCGAATACGAAAATAAAGCTTGGTTATGTACCAACCGCAAGTATTCCCTGTTTCATGATTACTATTGTGCAAAGATGAGTTTTCGTTTGCCCACTAAGCTACGTGCCATTAAGCCCATAAACGCAATTGGAAGACAGCATCAAGATTGGGATCCACGCGTACGGCCCACCTGGCGAGGAAGCGATTTAACACCATCCCAGGGAAAGAGATTATATCGTTGGACGAAAGGGGTTAAAGGTTCGAGTGATATTCCGTGCAAGCACATGCGGCATGCATCCCCTCGACATCCTCCATCAAGATCTTGCTGAGATTGATTGTCCTAACCTAGTCGGACCCCAAAATTGCGTCTACCTTAAACAGAAACACTTTCCCACGGAATCCACCATACTTCCCCGGCTGCACTATTTAGATATTCCAGGACTCCCCAGCAACACAGCATAGTAGCTCGCTGATCAATAGAGTGTATCTATCGAGAGCACCTACGTATACACACTCCCTAGCCAGGCGCCCTCGATCGATCGGGTCGGTTTGTCTCTGTACTTACATGTAGGTACACGCACTTGATCCAACTCTAGCTCAATTTGCGCATCATCGGAATCAACGGCCGGCCGTAGGTTCTCGGTCACGTCTCTTATTCCCCGATCTCTCCTCCATTCGCCCACGCTATCACGCTACCACTAACCCTCCTTTACCCTGTTATTGCCTCGGTATCTATTCGGGGAATTTTTATATTCTACCGAAGTCTGATCGACGCCTACCGAGCGAATGGATAAGCTAGAGAGGGTTTAATTATTAACTCTACATACATGTACTAGCCACTAACAAACCCTAACAAATTACAATAAAGTTACTAGCCAGGTCTACCCTGCCCAGCCAGACCGGCGACTGAGGCGGATTGTCTACTGGGTGGCCCCCACCTCCATATATATGTAGCTCATGTCTCTCGGATATTTAAGTAAAAAAATGAATATGTAGAGTATTCGTACAAGGTAATTCCCTGCGAAGAGCAGATCTAGACCCCCGAGAGGCTTTTTTACGCGTGCGACTAGGGTCCTGGATCTTGGTAGATGGCCAAGCTTTTAATTTGATGATGATTTCTGCTGGGTATGTACGTAGGTGTATCGGGAGGCCGGAGGCCCCGAGGCTAGTTATGTTGTTGTGATGCTTGGGGGATGGGGATACGGCTAATGTGGGGTACTTAGGTACATGCAGTGCAGGTGTATGGAACAGGACATATGGGCTTTGCCTTGTATGCGAGCTTATCCTCATCGGCGGGGCCAACGGGTTATGGTTCCTGTTTGATGGGCATTTGTAGATAGTGATCACGCCTCTAACTGCACATGGCCTTTGCGGGAATAGCATATTGAACTGAACTTATGTACCTATAATGATTTTCTGGATAGACCCTCTAAGTAGGCACTAAAAAACAACCCACCAAAGCAAGATGGAAAGGTCTCATATCCCATAGATAAAGCGAAACAAGACAGGCATCTTCCAAAGATCCCACTAATAATACATTCACACCAGGTTGTGGAAGTTAAGACAAACAAATACACATGCTGGGATGACAGGCAACTCGACATGACAAGCGTAATAACATAGATAAGTAGTTTAAAAATATAAGAAAGGGGTTTCAATAAAAAAATTAGAAGTTAACATAAAACATGCAAGGTAGCGAACCAGACATTAAGAAGATATGACCCAGCCAGCTAGCTAGCAATAAGTACGGTACCAAAACGCCCTCCCAAAAATAGCAAAAATAGCAAAGCAAAAAAATGTAGAAACAAAAACAAAAAGCAGCTTTAAACTAAAAACTTTTCCCCCGGAAACTTGAAAGCTCATGCATGCTTCATCCGTTCGTTAAATAGTGGCATGGAGGTATTTATGCCCTTAGCATCATAATGAGACACCGGCATTGGCAAGGATTTCTTCAATGTCGACGTTGTTGAAGCCAGCGAGCTTCCCGTTCTCCAGCTGGTTGAGAACTGGCTTTGGTTGCTTTGAAAGAACAGCAGTGAGGTATCCGCCCACCGTAGCCTCCTCAAACTTGCTCCACGGGTTCTGTTCCGCCAGCTTGTCGAAATGCGCTTCCAATGAAGAACCAGTAGGAGGAAGAATCTAAAGGTGATTGTTAGCTTTACTACTCGGTGATAGAAGATATGAAAGGGTAAACATACGCCTACGAGAATCTCCTTCTTGACCCCTTCGAACTCTGCGCTAATTTCCCCGGAATCCCCTGAAAACATCTCGTTGATAACAACCTCTTCAATGTCCTCCGTCGTGGCATCAATTTCCGTGCGTCCCCAAGAAAAGCACTCATTCACCGCATCTAATTCACTCGCTCCATGACATCTATATGCCTCCAATACTGCCTGCAACATGAAGTTTGCCGCATTCTCCACCCATAGCCGGCTGACCTCTGCGAAATTCGCTGAGTTCCAGGTACTGAGTATCATGAACTCCTTGAGCACATCTTTCAGCGCAGCATGGCCCCACATTGAACGGTCAGGTGCAGGGAGCGTGTAGTAGCCCATTTGACGCAACATTTCTTCCTGGTTCTTGTGTGACTTCTCTTCCGAGAAGGGGGTCTTGGGCACATCGAAAGCTGCCTCGGCGGTGGAGTCAATTCCGGCAAAGACGTGAGGGATACGGCGGCGGGAAAGCCATGCTTGCGCGCGCGCTGCACCTTGTGTCGCGTTGGACGAGAACGTAGGGGAAGTTACATCGAGACGGCGCAGGAAGAGAGTTGTGAAGCGGCATAATCGCAGACGCAAGTTAATGCTATCGGGGAGTGTATTATTCGGATGTGCGCGGGTAAAGGTTTGGTAAAATGCTTTTAAACCTATTAGTTCACGAACATTTCAACGGTCACCGGCGAGAAGATTACGAACAATTGACTAATTTCAAACCCATTTCTGCGGACTTTGACGCGTCTGCCCATTCTCTCTTCCCCACCTTGCCCTCTTGGCGCAGTTTGCGCTCAGAGAGTACTGATTCGATGCAGAACCAGCACAGGTAGTCTAGGATCAACTCGTCTACGTGAAGTCTGGTATTGGCATTCATGTCGACAGCGGTAGGCATTGTGGATTGAATTGAGATTAATTATAATAAAGATGGGTGGTGAGATATATTTGTTGCGGGGAATTAGAGATTGTGTGGGGAAATTATGAGTACTGATTTGTGGGGTGTGATAAAGAGTGTGGGTGGGTGTGGTGGTGGTAAGTTTTGCCTATCGTAAAGAGCGAATATAAATAAGGAGTGAATGAGAGTGAGTGTGTGGGCAAATGAGTGAATGAGCGGACAACGATGAACGTTGGATTGAAACGAGGGAGGGGAGGGGGTCTAGATATATCGATATGGGGGATAAGAAGGAGGGTTTGAAGGAGAGTGGTGATAGGGGATTAGATAGGGGGTTCAACTAATTTGGGGGGGGGAGAGACAAAGAGTAGAGACAGAGAGGTGGGGGGGGGGAGGGCTAGACGGTTGAGCGGTGGGGTGGGCGGAGGAGGAGGAAGAGGAGGAGGTTGAGGAGAGGGGTGGTGGAAGGGAGAAAGAATGCCGCAAAAAGAAAAGAAGCCACTTATGCGTGTGTCACCCTTAGTGTCCCAGTATTTTTCTGTCCCCCTCATGCACATAAATCGCTTAGAGAAAAGCCGAAGGTTCAGAACCACCAATCCGTCCAGGGGCAAAGGTCGAGTGCACAGATGCCCTTGCTGCGTTCCGCTGCCGGTACCTGCATCAAACAAATTTCCCCCTGCGCGAACCGTCACCGCCGTGGCGTGCAGAAGATCGAGTGACAGCTCGTGAATGCAAGTACTCTCTCTAGATGTACATCGACGTACATCTAGTGCATGTAAATCCTCAGACTCTTTCTCCTCCTGCACGGATTGTCCGAGAGTCCCGCCCCTTTATTGCGTGCTTGCCGCTGCTACTCTAGAGGATACTTACTCGGTTAGACGGGGGCTACTACTCTACTGTAACGATGTTCTATGATGCCGTGTGAATGGTTTACATGTAGTATGTGCAGTGCACTATCGGAGTGCATTGTGGTCCGGCTATCGAGTTCCCGAAATCCAGCGGTTCCTGGTGGCTGGATTTCTTTGGCTGCTTGCCGATAAATCAACCGCTACCGTCTCCACACTGGCGGGTGTAGGGGGATCTGTGTTAGGACTAGTTATGAGAGTAAGATCAATTGCAATTAATACCGGTACTTGTAGCTACGGATTAATAAAGAGTTGATTAGAAGGGGGTCGGAGAAACAATCAAGGGAGGAAACAAAAGCTACGTAGGTGTTCAAATCAGTGCCATATGTCAAAACAACGTTGAAGTTGACAGTCTAGATTTCAAATCTCAGTACCGTAGATCATGGTCATACAAATATGACCACTCTCTCCCACGCGGTCTCGAGAAGAGGTTCGTGATAGACCAATCAAGTCCTCACTTTGGGTCCCATACTGCATCTCCCCCCCTTCCCCTTCCCTTCGACCCTTCCTTCTGCTCGCCTCCTTCTTTCCTCTTCCTGGCCAATTTGCACTTTGACCATCTCCTGCTTTAACTTATATTAGGACATCTCAAAACTTACGCAACGCACCACAATGCCGGGCCGGTGAATCCCACCGCTTAGGGCGCATGGCCTCTGGCCGTCTTTGTTTCATGGTGATAACCTTAACTAGTGTTGACCCATCAATCCATCCTAACCCTCGCCACAATCTTCATCAACAGCAGTATTGGCATCGGCATAAACGTGCATATCATCCAGAGTATTTACCAAACTCCGGTTCTCGAAGCACGATCTTGAAGAGTGGGCGTTTAAGTGTTCGATCTTATCGTGCCTCCCTTCAAAGGATCCGAGGTAAGGCCGGAATCGGGAAAGGCTCCTGTATGTCATGCATGAGTACCTGCATGAGGGCACCTTCCAGTTACAGCCAGTAGAAAGAGAACCTTCAGCATCCCCCTCACCGCAGAGACGGGAAGAAAAAAACTCTTGACATTCAACGGGTATCGTCGGGACCCCTCGAGACAAAACCTTCAATATGTGGTGCTGTTATAGCTGTACGTCATGTCCCAAAGAGAAAAAAAATTAGGATGTCTCGGCCTCACGATGTCTCGGTCTATTTCTGATGTGGAAGCGTTTCAGAAACGGCCGTCCGAGAACACTCGGAGAATATGGACCTGGTAGTCTAGAGAAGTATGGGGGGGTCGAGGACACGGACGTTTTTGTTACCGCCCCCTCTAGGCCGCCAAACATAACAACAACGGTCCGTCCAGAACCTAGCAAGTTGCAACAACTTCGGTTGAGTTGGCCAACCGTTCTACCGCCGTCTTATCCGCGTCTAATTCTCTTTCTCTACGCGAGCATACCAGTAACCGATGGATTTCTCTGGATTTTCTCTACTATGGGGTTGCAAAATCTATATTTTGTGTCAACTGAGTCGTGTTTTACACGCTCGTCAACAGGTACCCTATGCATACAGTGTCTCTACTCGAGGTACACAGCCCCGCTAGCAAAGACATCAAGAAAGACAGTCAATGCAACTAAACTCGGCTTGGTGAAAACAGGGCTACCTATGCCATGTTTTACTCTCGGTGTTTCGGGAGTTTGGACATTCTTTGGACCCGGAGTCCGAGAGGGTTCATATCCCAGGCTCCGTAACAAAACTAGACTCCGGACAAAGAGCGTGCCCTTGGACCAATTGTGAATAGGATTCATTATGAACGCCTGAATTATGTTTCTCCACTCCCCGATGCCCAATTGAGAAAACTTCAACGATGTAAGATCTCTTCCGGGTAAAGCTACCACAGCTCTCGCTCGCTCTAGAGGCACTGTTTCTGCTTAATAAGTGCATTTATACAAAAACTGGAGTCTGAGGGTATCTTGACTTTTGTTTTGTACCCTTTGTTTCCCGCTGCGCCATACCCACGGCCGACGGCAGATGAAAGCCACGTACATGCTTAGGTCTGTGGTCATGTGTGCTCCCGTGATATGGGTCCTTGGGGAAGAAATTGGCAACCTAGCCCTCAAAAGGGGGGTAGGATCTCTGGTAGCTCTGAGACATGTTTACTAGTATGCATAAGGGCTAGATTGATTTTTAAGAATTATAAACGAGTATTTGATTAACGGACGTTTTACCAACAAAAAAAAAACCGAGGGTTACCTACCGCTATGGAAACTCAAATCTCATATACAAGAAGCACGTCCTGATCGAGGAAGATGTTCTATAAGGCTTCCTGATTATAGCGGGACATGAAGGATCTACTCTGTTTTCCGCATTTGGATATAACTTCCCTTCGGTTCTTGCTCAAATCACATATCCTACGGGCGATCAGTAATGAAGTTTGGACGTTACGGGTCCAAGTCTCGACCATGACAACAACCACCGAAGTGCATATCACCCGATAATCAAAAGTACTTCCCTAAATTGACTCTGGTCAAAGAAATATACATGAACTACGTTTGGTAATGATAGATCATCGAGGGTAACCCGGGTCCTGAAACTTTAAGAATCCTCAACAGAAAGTGTCTTGGCGGCCGAGTGATCCGTCTTGAAGCAATTGATGTTCCTCGGGTTCATCTAGTAAAGTAGGACCATGGTACAGTGAGAATGCCCCTCTTACAAATTTTATGCTCATGGAAAGCTAAGTAACAGAAAGAAAAGAATAAATGCATATGTGGCGCGTTTTGTCTAGAACGCATTCTAGGGCTAGAACACATGTGGCTGGAGACGACAATTAGCTAAGAGATGTACTAAAACGGAACATTCGATTAATAGTTACACTAGTACAAATATCTGTTCAGCCCTAAGTACATCGCTCACGTTGGAGGAACCTCGATGTCTGTCAGACACGAATAGAAACACAAGATCTACAAAGGGTTCTAGTTCTCTACAGCCACACTCTCGAAAGGTCTAGGGCATCTAGAAGTTAGGAGTTCTCGAGGGCCACTGATATGCACAACATATAGATATCTTCCGCCACATCTCCGGCAGGGCGATAAATATTCAGCCGAGTCCCTGCATATATCTCATTAAAGGAAAGGTTCTGGATATGGCCTTCTGTGTATATATAGGGCAAATCTAAAGTCTAGAACCAACACCACAGTGCATGGCTAAAAGATGTTGGATGACGTCTTTTAGTTGCAAATATTTTTGGTGTGTGTAGCATAACCTTCGAGAAGGGCCTCGTCGCGTTCCGGGTTGGGCGGTATGCAGGTTGGTGGTGCGGCAGACATTAAGAAGCCGTGGAGTTAAGCTCCCATCTCCGCAACCCCAGATTTTCCAATAGGGGCCCGCTCTTCGTATGTGTATGTACCTATAAGCCGCGCCTATATTTTGATAATCTATTCGTAGTTGTTATACCGCCATTATGCCGTCCTTAACTCATGCTACTTATCATCACCACCCATCACTCGACCGACCCCTTACCAATCGCCCATCACCCCCTCCAACCCAACTTCTCAATGTCTTTGATCTGATTTCTCCCGAGGGCCAGGTACCCACCCCAACCACGCAATTGCTGATGGCGTACAAATCCAGGGAGCCATTCCCACCCTTCGAGAAGCCCACCCAACTGCCTCACGCACGCAGGCGCGCGGCTCTTGCACTCACGTGACCGCCAAGATCCATAAAAAAGTTACCACCAACCGGCCAACCCAAACCCTTGTCTCAGGCTGGCCCGTAAAGTTTCTTTGCAACCCATTCGAACTTTCCCACACAGAGCAGTAAGTAAAAATGGGACGGTCAACAAAAAGAAAAGACGACAAAGGCGCCGACAAGAAGAGGAAGAGGAGAAAGAAGGCCAGAACCGACGGTAAGCACCATCCTCAAATTCTGGCCCCCCCTCCACAATTCCGGGTGCTAATGAGGGCGTTTAGTTTCGAGCGATAGCGATAGCAGCAGTAGCAGCAGCGAGGATGAGGTGATGGTCAAGAAGACCGTCGGCAGGAAGGCAGATGCCAGTATGGATGTAAGTATAGACTGGGAACACCGGCAGTGGCTTCAATTGGCTAATTATCTACAGGATGCTGCTGTTGCGCCGGCGTCGGTACCTGCGATGATTGAAGACGAAGAATCGGACCATGATGATGATGAGGCCGCCGAATCTACCGTCGCCGGAAAGCCCAGCGAGAAGGTTCGTTCTCTTCGCCCGTTTTCTAATGCTTGTAGGAGACTAACAAGCGCAAAATTTAGAGCGGACAAATCCCACTGCAGCTGCGCGACTTCCGCGATTCACAGGCGGACGCAAAGTTCGAGGACTACTACATGCGCCTCGTCACGGAGGAGTTTGGCGATGATATCAACAACTTTCGAAGCGCAAAGGACTTTGGAGATAAGAGCTTACCGCTGCTTATCAAGGCGTTGAAGCAGGGCATCAACATCTTTTCGGCGGACGAGAAGATGACGGTGGTCAAGGAGCTGGATTAGATCATAATGGTAGATTGTTTTTTTTTTTCCCTTTTCTTTTCTTCTTTTTCTTCTTTTTCCCTTTTCATTTCATCTTTTTATTTAATCAAGATGTACCACACAATAGTAATGGCTATTGCTACATTACATGGCGTTTTTTTCTTCGAAGATTGAATATCTTAATACCATCTGTACCGCGGAGGAGCTGGATGAAGAAATGCCGCGGGAAGTTACTTCAAAGAAAGTGATAGAGGAGGATACGCTATCCCAGGGCACAATTAAGACTATGTCGAGAGACAAGTGCCATAAAGCTAGCTAGCTAGTATCCGCTGTAAAGCAGAGATTTTGGGGAGCACCTTTTTAAAATCCCAACCAATATATACCTTCTTCCTACCAATACCCCTCTTCCCAATCCACCGCAAGAACCCAAGCCCACAACACCTTTCCGAAAAGAAAAAGAAAGAAAAAAACCCAGAAAGAATTACCCCATGATAATAATGACAATGTTTCCACTACGCTCTGCCCGCTTCTCACAGAGCCGCTGTTTCCTTAAGCCTCCCATTCTCGACATAGTCCTTCGCCTGAAAGACCTTGACCTTTTCATGCTCCTTCCACATTGGCGGCGGCTTGCCGTCGCCCAGAGCCCGTTCCTCTCGGCGTAGTGCCAGCTCGGTTCGCTCGACCTTGGACGTCATCTGTCTGATGTTCTCGTTGACCCGTAGTATCAGACCCTGGACAGGGGGATCAGTATATTATATACGGGGAAAAGCTTGGTACGGCCCGAGGGTAGGGAAGGGGAAGGGGAGGCGGAGTGAGAGGCCTACTTCGAGCAGGTCAATCTGCTGATACACGCTATTCAGCTCCGTAGCTATCGGGATGAGCTGTGCCGCGGCCGGCTCGATCACATTTGATATCTGACTCTGTGCCTGAAACTCGCTCACTGTGATAAGCTTTTTTGACAAATCCCTACTAACTACTACTACTATTTCTAAACGAGAGAGAGAGTGGGGGAATGTCACAAACATCCTGAAGGATATCCTTTTGGGCCGACATTGAAACGTTGCATTCATCGCGAAGCCGGGTTATGTTGGACGACTGTAACGAGGGTACGTTCGTTGTCAGTCAGACTTCAGTCAAGTCAAAGCAGTTCCTGGAAAATGTTTCAGGCAAGGCGACACAAGGAAAAAAAGAGGCCCCCAAGAAAAAAAAGAAAAGAAAAAGGCTAAAGCGGCTCTTCATACCAGGGGCGCAAAGAGTGAGGAGCGAAGATATCCAGCTATCTCTACGGCAACCTCAGGCGGGAGGTCGAAATGCCGGGGTGGTGGTGGGGTGTTTGGCATCGTGAGTGAGTGATTTCAAGAAGTTTTCAGTATGTATGCCCGGGGGGGATGAATCAGAAAAGCGACGGAGAAAGAGTAATGTTCAAAAATAACAAAATGAATATATTGGACCGTTATATCTAGTTAAGAGAGAGACATGTGGGGGGGTGTGGATTAACGTCGTCGCGAAGTGGGAAAGAGAAAGAAAGAAAAGCTGCTATTGGAGGAGGGGGGGAATCGGGAGCTTTCCAATCCTTGTGGTCACGGTCCAGTCCAGCCAGTGTTTTCGCCAGAGAGGAGATGGTGAGATGCATGCAGACAGATTGACATGAAGGTCAGTTGCATTAGCTAGGTGGTAGTGGAGGTGGGTTAGGGTTGCAGATCTCTCCCTCACTCTCCCGGTCCGCTACTCGAGTTTCCATTGTGGGATTGCACAGGGAATCACTCGCGGGTAAACGATCCTTGCCTGTAACAGCAGCCAACGGGTGTGCTTCGCCACCTGAAACTGTCAAGTGCAACACTAACATTTAAATCGCCCAGATTGGTAGAGTACTTGGCCCGTCTACGTTTGAAGCAAGTCTTTTGTTTAGTACTGGCAGGTTGTACAAAGCTTCCATTCCAAATACACCCCGCAGATCCGCAACGCGTTTGGAACCGTTGATAAAACTTAAGCATAACATCCTCCCGGGGTGGACCAGTACTTCTGACGTCTTATGTCCATGCACCTTACAAAAATACCGCCGAACCTGATCTCCCACTCCTTGTATGTACATGATGCAAGGGGTATTCGTTTTTCTTTGGTGAGATACCGCACTAAGTGCTTAAAGTTCCATTGATAATAAAAATAGAATCCCACTTCGTCAAGAGGATAGGAGAGAGAGAGAAAAGTCAAGAAAATAGACAAAAGAAAAAATATTACAATAAACAGTCCTTGGCCCGTTTCCTAACAACTAGAGTTTCCCGCCCAGCCCAGCCAGTTTCGTAGTAGCCCTTGTCATGACCACTAGATCTAGAGAATAAACTATCTTGTATCTGTACCACCCTATAGCGTGAATTAAAATGCAATTATATCACACCTACAAGGCTACTGACGCCCCCCACGACGTCCTCCACGAGCTCGACCACCACCCTACTGATCAGTCAGTAAAATTCTGCACATTATTAATTTGGAAGGAGATTCCTACTTGGTTCTGTCCCTGGTTCTGTCCCTGGTTCTGACCTTGGTTCTGCCCCTGGTTACCAGCGTTTGCATTGTTATTGTTGTTCGCACCGTTATTGGCGTTATTGTTATTGTTGCCATTGTTTGCATTACCCTGGCCGACGGTAAACTTTGTACAATCGTCTTGAGCACCACGCTGGGCGATCGGCATAAGAACAGGTTGATGGTTAGAAGCACTCGACATAGTGCAGACCCGATAGAAGCCTGCCGGAAGGCCGCCCGTCACTTCTGCAGATAATAGCCCATTCCCATTTCCGGCATCGTTGATACCCTTGAAGAATTCAAATTTTCCTGCGTCAGGGCTATTTATTTATACATGTAAGTAAGTTGGCAATATCAGTTTTGGATATGAAATGGACATACGCATTGTTAGGTGTGAGACTGCCACCCAGGTCTTGAACAGTGACATGTGTATGTCCCACAATCTTCCCACCCTGGAGTGCTTGAGGTGCTGCATAATATGTGTTTGCGGGGTTTGTGAACGATCCGGCCTGCAGATTTGCGACTTGGACTTGTATCGTGAATGCCGTATTTGCGGCAATATCTTGACCTGGTGTAGGGGATGTGATGATTGACGATACCATATTCTGGGTCGACGGAATATCACCCATTACTATGAGATAGTTAGATATATCTCCACTTCAGAAAGCCCGGACTGAGTTTCTGCGTACCGATTCCATTGCAAGAGCCACCTTGAACCTGAAGACCATTGGTGAGAGTTTTTCCAGTGCAGAAATTTATGAAGTTTGCTTTATCGGTAGCGGAGTCGGCTTGAGCCGGATCGTCACCAGCTTCTTGACCAGTTAAAGCGGAATTTGACTGCACGTTTGCTGGGTTGAGGGCAAGGTTCCCTGCGTTGTTGTTATTGTTGTTATTGTTATTGTTATTCTGGTTGTTCTGGTTATTCTGATTATTTTGGTTGTTCTGATTATTCTGCCTGTTATTATTTTGATTGTTCTATTCCTAGTTAGGAGTTTTTGTCACGATTATCTAGAAAGGTTCAAAGTAATTACCTGTCTTCTATCAAGAAGTGCTCGAGCGTGAACATTCGATAATGTATATGCATTTGCCATCGAAAGAACCCCCAAAGTCGCCAGGAGAAGGACGGAAATATTAGGGATAAACATGTCGTTAAGAAGCAAAAAATGAACGTATAAATAAGCTGTCAAAAGCAATGGGGTGAATTCACGATCAACGTAAATCTCGTCCGGCGAGCAAAACTACAAGAAAAAAGATAATATAAGAGGAGGAAGGAAGAAGTAAAAGAAAGAAACCCCCTTTCGAACAATTCAGGACAGACAATGTAGTGCTAAATGAAATGAAAGAAAGGTGAAGGCGAGGTTTTTTTAAACATCAAGTGAAGAAAAGCAAGGTGGGTCTTAAGCAAAAAGTCCAAGACCCTTGGCACGTTGGGCTTTTGGCGCTCTCCCAGGCTTTTTCTTCTGCATCTGGTACAAAATATTTCATGATTGATGTTGAAACTGTCTATCAAGACTATAACGTATCGGGTCTGTTTCGTAAGAGTCGACGTTAATGTAGGTACAAGAGAACCATCCATGCGTGAAGGGATGAGATGTTGGCTCGGACCAGGCGGATCTGTAAGCTTTCCCTGGGGGCTTTGGGGGATGTCGGAGCTTCCTCTACCAGTCAGAAATCTCCAAAGGAGTCCAGTTGACGTTGCCAAGCTGCACATCTAGGCGCGCTCTACCAAGACGTCTACCCAGCCAGTTGGTAACAGGCTGGGTTACAGATTGGGTTGGGGTTTCATCCTGACACTTAATCCTTGTAAACCAACCATAACCGCATCTCAAGAAGGAGAACAAAGTTGAGGAGAATCGCTGTCGCATGGGAAATACAAATTGTAAACCTTAAATTATTTCCCGTCGCCTCTTTTTGGTAGTTGCAAACCATGCTCTTGGTCAAGCAACCATGTCAATACACACTGCGCCCTGTGATCACTTGCGAGAATCTTGCGGCTTCAGAAGGCATCTTGACCAAATCAGTGCGCCTCCTTGTTACCCCTCTGTGATAAACTCCTATCACATACAAGCTGGATGCCTGTCTACCTGTCTGTAAGCCGCATGAAATTTGGAAGCCTACATGTAGTACATGGAGATGGGTCAGGCACTGAGGCGGATAAGAGCTACATGTAAGTATGTATAAGCTCTAACAGCGCCCGTCACGTTTGTTCGTATCTTTATTAGACCAAATCAGGATGGACACCTCCTGGTTTTGTAGTAGTACAGCCTATTAACAGGTAACACTTCTTTTATTTGGAATGAAAACGCCCAGATCCGAGGCCGGGTCAATGATATTATTAATGTGTCCCTACATTGCAGATGCACAAGCTAGGGCATGTGTGCTTGCCCGTGAGAAAGCCACTCGCCGTTGATTAAGAACCCCCTTTCTGCAGTGGTACTGTCAAATGGAACGAAGAAAAGCCATGACATACTCGAAACGTGGCTGGCAGTTTCGAAGAACATTTCGCTGTAGCCGCTCTTCCGTCAATGTGTTCGTTCCATCACATCCGATTTTCCGGAATGAACATCACTGGCTCAGTAACGAAGGAACTTGAGTAGTTGTGAATGTAGACGTAAAATATCTCCGGAGGGAGAGAGAGAAAGGGAAAGTAGAAAGAAAGGAAATCTCTAGGGCAGCTACTTGGCTTCATTTTAAGCGGCAACCTTAATCCAAACTTTAATAGAGCCTCATCCTTCATACCACCGATACCTGTTACAACGTCTTTTTCTCTCTGAAAAACCTGCCAATGTTTGTCATGACATCTGAGAAAGGCTTATCTGCTCGGTCTCGGACTAAACCATTTTGTATCCATCCAGGCAACTTGGAAGTTATCCTATCAGTTATGTAGCGTTTATCAAACAATATGATAACAGCATAATCTTCGCGGTGTCTTATAGCCCTCCCAATACTTTGGTTCACGGCTCTCATGCAGGCATTGTCATAAAACTCACGCCCAGCAGCTTTGGCAATCGCTTCCAGCTCAGGTGCAGATGGCATACTCTCGCTTGAGTCTGTAAGGTAAGAGTCACGAGCAACCTTCTCCACATGTTCTAGGCGCGCGCGCCACTCAGCGGTATTGCTGTTTGGAAAAGGAAGGCCGACCATGATTATTCCCCTGCCTAGACTGTAATATCATTAATGATTTTAATCATCTTATGGTGATCCCTTTATTAGAGGTATTATGGTGAACGTACTTGTCATTGAAATTAATTCCCTCTGACATCTTGCCTCCAACAATAGAGAGCAAGAGGCCGCCTTTTCCAGAATCGATTGCTTGCGCATAGTCTTTGAGGATGTCCTCTACACTGCTGCCATCGCTCGATTCTCTAAAAACCTGGGAGAAAGTCAGAAAATCACTCAGCATTTGGATCAAGAATTGAATACAATTTTCCTATCTGCAAGTCTTTCCCAAATAGACTTACCCATACTTCCACTATTTTTCTTCCACTGGGATACAACATATTCCAAATATGCATAACTAGGAAAGAAACACACAACACCATGTGGAATAACAAGACATAGATTGATGATAGCTCTACCCAAGTCTTCGATCTATATTGGTTCTTAGTGTTAATGTTCGAAAAATTTCTAAATGTCATGATAATCACCATTGCAGGAAGCATACGCTTCTCGAAAGTAAACTCGAACTCTCTTCCGCTGGGCCCCTTAGAAACAGGTAATGCTACCAAGTTTTCCTTTGGTATGACGTGTCCGCACGAAAGTGTGCGAATCCTTTCTTTTGGTAGATACGGGAAAAGATGCATCATGTAATCGTTCATCTAAACCCGATATTGTCAACATATGGGTCCTAACAGAATGGACTATGGTTTCTTTTACCGGTTCCATAGTGCCGCCAGCTAAAATCACTGCTTTTGCCTCCTCTACAATCTCCCTAAAGTGGTGTGCAGGATCCAATAGCATATATCGAAAGCAAGCTACTTTCTTATCTTCCATCTTCCCGTAAAATATTCTTCCTTCAGCAGAGGGGTTGGTCAAAGCTAAAAGGAACCCTTGTATATGCGTAAGAGTTGGTATCGAGACATTAGATATGTTCTCGCCGACAGATTTCTTGTGTTGTTTTTCCTGCTCTTTCGTCTCAACATGGACCACATATCCTTCAACTTTCCTTGCAAGTTTGCTTTCATTTAGGTATCTTTGGAGCTTGAAAAAGTTGACCTGATCCATACCATTCACTGCGAGTAGATCTCCAGCAATAACCGCCCCTTCTCCTCCCTTCCTATCCAACTCCTTCAGATACGAAGTAAGTGTACTCAAGATCCGAGTCACTTGCATTACGTAGACTTTATTTTTTCCTTTCAACCGATTTCGGAATTTATTGAGATAGATTTCAAGTTGTGCTTGGCATCGCTCGAGTTGGTTGAGCGATACATTGATTGAATAGATTGATGAGATGGCGCTGATAAGATTATGGGCTTCGTCAATGACTATAATATGTCCCTTGAGTGAGAGGTCGAGTGCCTCCCGGGCTGATTTCTGGAGAAGGAGGGGGTATGGTAGCGTTACGACCTAGGAAATTCCTCAGTAAATATTTTTTTCTCTATTAAGGAACGGTGGGGATACATGCCTCGCTTGGCTTGATGGTAGGCCTAGAAGCATAATAAGGGCAAATACCCATCTTTTTGCCAAGCGAAGCCAACTCTTCGATATCACGGATTTTTGCAAGTGTATGGTCTCGGAAGTCTCTGATAAGTACCTTGTCGTCTTTTTCAGGGAGGAATTGACATCGCGATTCTTGAGTGCCTTTTTGATTGAAAATTAAAAAAACACATATCTCCAGTTTTCTACTTCTTTTAGCACGTACTTACCGGATCGCTGTAGTTCTAGGCATCTCTCATTTATCGCAGTGGGGTTGGATAGTTTCGCAACCTTTGGGTTTATACAAAGATTTTTCCGGGACCCGAGGGGAAGATGTTTTATTTCCTCCTTCTCCTCTAGTTTAATTGCCTTGGGATCTTCTTGTGCGAATGAAGGCGGGAACTTTACACGACGAAGTTCATTGACGAATTGTGTAAGTTGAGAATGCGTTCGTGAGCAGTAAAAGATCTACATAAACAATCAATTTCATTTATCACTCACTTCGGTTTACCTACTCACTTACCTTAATCTCGTCGGGGACTTCTAAATCCTCATCCTTAATGTCTGCTCCCATGGGAATGCCAAGTCTACATATTTATTAGTCCAATTACACATCTCTTATGGGCTTCCTCACCTCTTCATCATTTCCATTACAGCCGGGGAAAAATCCCCATTGCTGTTGGATTTAGAGTCTCCCCCCTCATCTTCATTATCATAATCCTCTAGAGTGAATTGTAAATCCTCATTATCATTGCCTCCATCAATCTCAACTTCAAGCTCTCCTTTCTGTACATTTATGTATAAGTAAATTCTTGGCTAGATATGTGCGGAGTGATACCATACCCTTTTCTTTGCCCTACTACCCCCAATACCTAACTCTGACCTCTCTTTTTCCTTCTTTTCCTTCTCACGTATCTTTGAGAGCCGGGTTTCTAGATCTGCCTTTTCTTGGTATAGTTTTTCTTTTTGTTGTTTCTTCGCAAAAGCTCGTACCCAATCGGGCCCACCAGCAGTGCTATCTTAAGCGGAGAATTAGCCATGACCTACATATCGATTCGATGGAAAGAATACCCTTATCTATCTCTTCTAGACGGGCCTCCAGGGATTTAGCTTTGTGGTCTCTGAGCCAAGTAAGAGAGCCACATATTAGGCTCAATGATTTACCCTGCATGTTTACATGTTTTACCTGTCAGCGGTATACAACTACAGTTTTCCCTTATCTCTCTCACGCACAGTTCCTACGCCGAAAGTCTGATCAGTATTGAAAAAAAGGAAATACCGATTGTGAGGGAAACATGCCTGTTGGTGATTCAAAAATGCCGACACAGCCATCTTCAATAGCGGAGTAGACTGCATTCATAAAATCCAACTGGATGGGATATGGTGTATACGGATGATGAAAGTCTCGCTCTGAGTCTGCCATGCTTATTATCTGGCCCCTGGGACTTGTAAGGTTGTTACCGAACTTAGAACGGGAACGCGTTTCTCAAAAGGTCACGTCGTAGTTGCCAAGAGAACTAGTCAGCGGATCTTATCTTATCGGCGGTTCGTTCCAAACGACTTTTAAACCTTGTGATTGATATCTATCAACATCGAAATTACTTATTCGGTAATCATGGCTGGGGATATTTTTCCTGATTAGATGTACATAATTTATAATCTTTTGATTGTAGATTTTTAAATTTTTACGTTCCTTCCCTTCATTTACCCCTTTGACCGTCACCGTCACCAGTCCCGATTAGGCGATTAGTAGATAGAGGTATCGATATGTGAGAGAATTACCACAGAAACCCTCAGTTCAGATTCCTAGATGGGTCACTATTAATTGCCTAATTAGGCACGGTAGGGTATTTGAATTAAAAGGTGACGGCCAAAGGGATACTTGTCCCTACTGAAAACCGACTATATACCCCTTCCCGTGGAGAGTGTGTCGTTCGCTGAACGCATACTTAATTAACCTAGTATCTTCAGGCCTTCTTTCCTTCCTTTGTGATCATGAGGTTCACTACCCCCATTAATTCTTTCAGCAGGCTGTCAGCCAGATCCCTTCAGCGAACTCTGGGACGTGCGTAGGGAAATAGGTAATGATCTTAAGGAGTAAGTAACATAGATATGTGCGCTTACAAAACTTCTGGTGGCCTGGTACGCGTCAGACTATCCTCAATTGTGGGTGTCTCTTTTAAAGATCTGCTTCACAGAAGATCACTCGATTATCGTCACAATCACGTGAAGCCCAGCCACTATCCGACTAGTAAGATTCAAGAATACACCCTATTCAACACAGAACTTTATTTATCTCGATAATATTTATGCCTCGGGATAGATTATTAATGCTAAGCTGACATACAGTATGCTCATAAACGAGATAATGATCCGACAAGGTATGTGGCCGGAGCTGCCAAGTGAAACCCCGTATTCGTAAAGGAAGGAAGTGTCATCTGATATTAGGCACATATAAGCTCAACAGGTCCAAACAAGCTTTTGTGGGGATATACTTACATCGTTTTTGGCTCAAGGAGTCTATGGAACTTGATTTTGTCTATGTATAATGCACCTACAATCATGTCAACCATGCACTCGAAAGTCGAAATCTATAGGGTCAATCTAGGGTAGCAAACGTCCTCAAGTTCTCGGGGTTCGCAACCAAATCCTCAGAAAAATCCGTTGACTTGGTGAACGCACGTAGTTGACCATGCATGACAATGAAGCTCAGGAATTCTTGATCACTACCAACACCCTTCTCAATCGCAAAGCATATGCTAGAAAAATACTTAGGCGATAGCACCGCTAAATTAGCCTGCAGGAACTGCGACCTTGGTATGCGATTTCGTCATATAGGATCCCGGTGGGGCTGATTTCTCATCGGCTGTGACTGATTTATAAGACCACGGGCAGATGAGAAGAATTGTGGTTTGTATCAAGATTTTTAATGTGACGAACGAGGCAGGTACGGGTGATTTGACTGCCCTTTTTGATAAACATATAGATTTGATGGCACTAGCCTGCGGCCCGGGTAAAGATGCGGGTTTCAGGTGTGTATCCGCCTTATGGAAAGTGCGCCAGCATATCTCTTCTGAAAGATTAAGAATAGATGTTGCCGGCTCTAACAGAGGCCATGAAGGGAATCTTTGTAACATCAATCTGAACCTAGCTGTAAACAAAGGGGCAACAGTCCTGCCACAGTCGTAGGGCCAGGCTGTGTTAAAAAACCGACGCTTAATGTGATGGAGGGTGTATCTGATTAGTATCATATCCACAACGCTCCCTGCAATATTAGGTTATTAAGAACTCTTTGGTACTAGATTGGATGCAGGATAGGGAAGGCGTCAGTAATCAGGGAATTATCATCAGGTGCACCGATCATGGAATCCCGACAGTTGTGCCGGAGGAGCTTTTTTAGATCTATATTGGGTACATGTAGTTATTCGAGGACGTAGGGTTGGGTAGGTATGTAGGTAGGAAATATAAAGAGACAAACTTGACAGCGGGGGATCTCTATCGTAAATAGAGTTATCTCTGCTTTCAAAGCCTAGGATCATAGAGCTAGGGTAGAGGTGCATTACTTGGAGCTCTTGTTGCCTCGGCAACATCCGCCGCGAGAGCTCGGACACCTATCGCTCCAAGCACCACGCCTCTTGGGTGCATGGTACAGTCGTTCACAGGGTGAGGACGAACACTGGGTGAAGACGAACCAGGGTTCTCAATATGGCAAGAAACAGCCAAGCCGCCCAAGTGATCTTTCTATTTGTCCAAAAATCCTTGTTCGTCTACACCCAGTGTTCGTCCTCACCCTGTGGACGACTGTACATGGTTGTTAACCTGCTTAGGCGAGGCAACCACGAGCACGGCCGCGAACGACTCGACCACATTCATCGGCGTCCGTTGAAACTACATAGATACATGTATGCGGAAGAAAAGACGATCGAAAAACTTGAAAAGCTGCTTCGGTCCAGAGTAATAGATAGGTACTGTCCTGCGGTGCATCGGCGCTGATAGTGGGGACGGTTTACTGTTAGAAAACGATTGCCGTCCACTGGAACTTGACCAATCCCAATGCCACCAAAATCATGTATTATTTATACATTTGTACTCGGGTGTGCACCAAAGTGATCAGAACTCAACGGAGATTGGTTAAGGATATGTGGGTGCAACAGGCTGGAGCCAATAAGATCTGCCAAGAATTTATATCTTGAATGGGGGAAAAAAGTCATCAGAACTATTGCCAAATCCCCATCAAAAAATCCATAAAATATATAAAATATTTTATTTATTAGCACCTACTCTATATTGTATTTGGACACACATTTGTCTATGTAGAGTTAAATTTCAGCAGATATCAATAAAACTGAGGGCAAAATTTGGTCTCTGGAGTTCCTTGGGGCATATGGTTGATATAAGCCCCAGGTGGGCCAACCAGAAGGTTCTCTCGAGGTTCTGTCCAACCAGAGGCAGTTCTGATCACTTACCCTTACACCCGAGTACATTCCTCTACTCTCTACAGAGAAACATCTCCTCGTATATGATTTAGCAGCGGGAGAATGTCATCACACGCATAGAGACAAAAACACCTGCCAAGAACCCTCCAAACCACAGATAGGAGCGATTTCCATGTGTTTGTATATACCACGGAGGGATATTGGATGTGACGTAAATGTCCGGTAATGCAATTGATTTACTCCACGATGAGCTTCAAAAGCATTCCTATCTTCTGCCACTCCGGACAGACAACAAAGCTTTCAATTATTTCGGATTTCGAAAAATCAAGTTCCGGAAATAATGGTGTCTACCCGCAAATCCACCCGCTCCTCCTCTGGTCTCGGCGAAGAACCGGCTGTCACCTCTCCCACAAAGCCAAGTGCTAGTCGTAAGAGAAAGACCGAAGAAGATGCATCTGAGTCGGTTATTGACGGATCAAAGCACCCTACAAAGCAAGCCAAAAAAGCAACTGTGGAAGATGATTCTGGAGCAGAGGGAAAAAATAGCCCGAAGCAAACTACACTTGATAGCGCGCTTAAGCAGCAACCGCGAGAGAATGATGCTACCGGGGATGTGGTTACTGAAGAACCCAAGGGTGTCGAGGAGGCACAGGGTCAAACCCCTGCAGACGAAGAGCAACTCCAAAATGAATCCAAATGCGCCATCACCGTTTCCTCCGAGCGTGAGGAAAAAGTAAAAAAATCCCCGATTATGGAAAAAGGAATAATCTATTTCTTCTTCCGCCCCAAGGTTGCAGTTGATCACGCTGAGAGTATCGATGATGTGCAGAGGAGCTATATAGTTCTTCGGCCCTTGCCATTGGGCGCAAAACTTAACGACGGGAAGGTGGGGGATAGTGATAGAGAGAGTCACCATAGGCTTATTGCGATCCCCAAAAAGAGACTGCCGGAACGCGGATACGAGAGATTTTTGTAAGTCCTTTTGTCAATCCAAGTCATAGGCTCGTAGGATAAGAATTAATTGATTTGGTAATATAATAGGACATTCGTGGAGGAACCAAAGATCTCGGCAGCCGACCTGAAAAGCCGATTTTTGAAGGGAAGTACATATATGACGAAAACACAAGGGTAAGAAGAAGAAGAAGCTATCCGCAGCCCCGAGGATGAAATGCATTGTGTACCTACTAAATACGCGCCCCTTAGAGAGCGAAAAAACTCACCCATGGAACCTATTGGCGAAGGCATATATGCTCTTACAAAGACCGAAGAAGAGCGGTCAACCCATCTTGCTTACATCCTCACACTTCCTTCCACACTGGATGAACTTCAAAAAGACTTTGGCTTAAAATCGCGTGGATCATTTGTGGTTAACGTGAGAAACCCTCAAACACCAGCTCCACCACAGGCAGGTATTCCAGACCCCGCAGAGTATTCAAAAGAGTGTGTATTACCAAACCCCTGCAACTTTCAATATTTGTTTCTAGGTTAGAATAGAACAGCTTTTTCCGGATGGATTATGCAGTGTGTATGGACGGCGTGACACAGTTACCGGGATGGATATTTGAGACTTTATTGCTAACCTCAGACTTTCAATTACCTGTAGGATAATGGAAGAGTTCCGTGGCCTCAAATGGGGCGCTCTAGAGCCAAAGCACCTGGACTACAAGCACGCAGAAGTGCTGTTTATTGGTCAGAGTGGATCCGAGGTGCCGGGAGAGGGGAAGCATGAGGGCACTAGTGATGAGATGGAGAAGCTGGAGGGCGAGGATGAGGTGAGGGTTAGACACCTTAAAGGTAATGAGGCTATCTTTGCAGACTTGGAACTTGATAGGAAAGAATTTGGGGGGGTGGGGAATACATGGTAGTGGTGGTGGTGGTGGTGGTGGTGGTGGTGGTAGTGCGGGGACAGTATAATTCAAGGAGTCCATCAACGATACAGTAGGGCATAGCGATAGGACCACACGGCGATTACGGCGTGTGTTGACTGAGTCAATGACTGAATGGACTAATTAGAAGCCGCCGTGGCTATGTAGTGTAATACGAATTGTGGGGAGAAAAACAAAGCTGTGACCAGCATGAGCATTTCTAGGCATATTTTGATGTGATATGCACAGGGAAGGTACGGATAACCACGTTTTACTTGTATCCTCCCTCTTTACCGGGGTTTGGAAATATTCCGACAGCCTGGGAGTTGGTTCTATTTGAACAAAATTCAAAATATTTATAAGTTCGAGCGACCTTTAATGACTTTATTGTAGAATGCCGGTAGTAGTCAGTTGCAAAGGTTTCCGAAATGGGCTGGGTCTGCATGGGATCAACAACTAGATGTGCGAAGCAGCCGATTTCGGCAAGGCCTTAATAACTGTAGGCATGATGGAACGCTTCTGAAATCCTACCAGAAAAGCAAATACATAACCTCCATGAAAGAAACACGGCTTTCCTATTTAAATTCCAAGTCTTAGAAAGTGATCCTAGAGCACTGCGGAGCAGCGTTGAATTTGATGGGATCGCCTGATGGCTCGCTCTCCAGCTGGACTAAAGTCGTATCCAACTTCCCTTGAAATTTATGCTGCTACTTGGATAAGCAACCACAGGCTGAACGTCATTGACTGCTAGTAGCATTTAAGATTGCAGAAGTATTGGATAGCAGAGTCCCTTTGATCACAATTCACCTTTCCTTGTCACTTCTGAAAAAGTAGATGGTCGTTATCGACACCAATGATACCGTATCTGGACAGCGCCTGGAACGTGGTCCATGAGCCACCCGAGGTTTGGTTAACAAGCGTCTGTTTCAATGACCTCACCAATAGCTGTACTAGATGGGACTTTCCCTCGTTTGGCGGCGGCTGCTCCAGCGCGCATGCGGCGCCGGGCTGTCTTGCTAGGCTCTAAAGTGAAATCAATTTTTTTTTTTTTTTTGAAGTTCGTTATGCAGCTGCCCCGGGAGTTCAACAACACAAGCGGCCGAAGAGAGGTGGAACTGAACCATACAAAACCCTCGCCTCAAGTCCGTCAACCAATTGATTTTTGAAATCACTGCCTCTCCTTCAGTCTCTTGGTTAATTCAAATCGCTTAGGCTATCTACCTGCACTATCGGAATCAACTTTGACAGACACACCCGCATAAACACTTTCGCTGACACCCCTCATAGGCTCCCGCATTCATCCCAGGTCTAGGTATTTGTCGGGTGTGAGTAAAAGTACTTGTACCCGGACATATCCATATCCCCCCATCTTTTCACCCACCATCATTCATATCACTCCAGCAGTAGACTTCTCTGGTTTTCATATTTCCACCTCGAACCTACCAATCACTCTATTGCCATCAACTCAATGGCTTCTTTAAGAATTTCTCGCTCAATTCTCCCCAGAACCCCTCGTAGGTTCGTGGCGCTGCCCCGCTTGCCCCACCATGTCTCTTTGCCTGGAGTGAGACACAATTCAGCTGCCGCAGCTGCAACCGCGCATTCCTTCGTTGAACAGGATCACCACCATCATGATAACCATCATCACCACCATCCGTCCGCCACTGTCTCAATCCCCCCAATCAAACCATTGGAGACTCCTCCTATTCTCCGCGGGAAGGTCAGTCCGGAGAAGATCGTGGCCCCGGAACTCAACCATCTCAAACAGCAGATTCAAATGCTCTGCTCAACTAATATCGGGGGACTCGACCTGACTTCAAAGTACTACCTCGAGGCCAACGGAAAGCTTTTCCGTCCCATGGTTATTTTCCTCATGTCTAGGGCAACTGCTGTGGCTCCCAAGAAAGATGGCTGGAAGATCGTGAGTGCCGCTTTGGAGAGAACATTTAACAACCCAGTGGCTCCTGCGGGGATTCTCCATGATCTCAACCCAGACTTCGCATCTCTTTCGTCTAAATTGATGCCCGTTGACATCCTTGGAGGCCCAGGCCAAGGTGTTCAAGTCCTCGGAACACAACGCCGTTTAGCAGAAATTGTTGAGTTGATTCACACTGCAACTCTTCTTCATGACGACGTCATCGACCATGCAGAGACTCGGCGTGGTAAGCCATCTGCCAATGTTTTCAGCGGCAACAAACTTTCCATCCTCGCAGGCGATTTCATGTTGGGTCGTGCATCAGTCTATCTTGCCCGTCTTCGTGAGCCAGAAGTTATTGAGCTTCTTGCCGAGGTCATCTCTGAGTTAGTTAAGGGAGAGTTGTTCCAACTTCAAAACACCGGGACCGACTACAATTCACCCGATTACCTCAAAGAATCTCTCGACTACTATCTCGAGAAGACATACTTGAAAACCGCGTCGCTCCTTTCAAAGTCTTGCCGCGCTGCAGCAGTTTTGGGTGGTACTACCGATGAGGTCTCAGAGGCGGCCTATATCTATGGAAAGAATTTGGGGTTGGCCTTCCAGCTTGTTGACGATATCCTCGATTACACTAGCTCCAGTGAGGAGATCGGGAAGCCTGCAAGTGCAGATCTTGAGCTTGGACTCGCAACAGCTCCGGTATTTTATGCATGGGAGGAATTTCCGGAACTTGGACCTATGATTGCTAGACAATTTTCTGAACCTGGTGATTCTGCTAGGGTAATTGCACTATTCAAATCCAGTCTACAGGGAGTTTCCTAACATGTATGTTCTATCTAGGCCCGTGAGTTGGTTCACAAGAGTCAAGGTATCCAAAAGACCAGAGATCTCGCTCGATCTTTCTGTGAAACTGCCCGCCAAGCTATTTCTATCTTCCCCGACACCGAGGCCCGAGCTGGTCTGGATGAGATCCTCAACAAGGCTCTTGGCCGCAAGAAATAATCGAGCAAACAGAAACACATCGAAACCTATTTACTGGACGATACGCCATAACGAAATAATGTCTGTGCTTGGAAGTAAGGATTTGATGGATCTGGTTGTGTTATTTTATACTAAACTGTAGATATCCTTTTTTATTTCACTCCTTCCCTTCCCTTCTTTAGGGTTTAGCTTGGGTATGTTTGTTTTTGTATATAAATTTCCTTTGTTTCTTGCTGCTACTGTTTATGAGATCTTCTCGTGGTGTGTAAGGGTTTTTCAGTCATTGCCACTGGAGTTTTCTTTTGTATCGGATCTGGGGTTTCTTCTTTAAGATGGGTCTTATTATCGAGTATGAGTTTTTTCTATGGTTGCAATCTTGGTTTGTTTCAGTAACTGGTGAGTTATATCTGGTCAAGGGTTTTAGTCACTATATTTTCTTTATGATCTCGAAGAGAGTTCGGATGTCAAATTCGGTATAGAAGTTTTTTGCTCGAGGTTCTCGACGTGCCTAAGATGGGTGTCGAAATACATACATGGGAATATAGGTCTTTTTAAAACGGAAAGTTTGAATCCAAATATTCCGTCAATTTGATCATTACCCTTGTACTAGTATATGTCCCCAAGAAGTCTTATCACCCCATCGATTAATGAGAATATCTATTCCACTTTCCCCTTTCGCGTTTCCAGTATAGATATTTCGTTTCTGGTGATTAATGAATGCCTTTGAAGTCTGTTAATTCCTTCCCAACGCCTTAACTTCATTTTGAGCTTATAATATAGATCCGCTACACTAACCAGGAATTTGAACGAAATTTAGTTCCCGCCGTAACAAGTCTTGATTAGGCCTGATATTACATCCGCATATAAGATCCCGGGGCAGTAAGATACCTCACTCCAGAGCCGAGGTTTAGGCTCTTGTCGCATATTTTTAAGCAGTTAGCTGTAACTACAATTATGATTATTACATATGGACGTACGGTGCTAGAAGTAACAGTGCGATAGTGCGTCAATGGGGCCGATAATGCAGCGTTGTCTAAGAATTCAAATGCGTTCGACATTTTGCAGCTGAGAGACCGAAGTGAGTGATAGGTGATGATCAACTAGACATATGCGCTAATAGAATTCTATCAGTTGTTAAGTAGGTATTTTGAGTTTGACATGACCAGGGAAAAAAAGCTTAATGCCCCTTTGTACATACAAGTAAGTGTACGTGTTAGAATGTGAACCTAAGTTACACAGCCTAAGGCAATAGGCTCCCTTCGACGTCGAAGCATCACATAATCCGGGGAGCCACGAGGTAAATTATAACAAGCACTTTCTTTAATTCTAAGTACGTACCTGTTCTTCTTATCTGGCTTCAGTCAGTACTTCACCCCGGCCACAATATTTTATCTGGAGAATACCGCCGGGAATACCACTGGCCAGATAATATGCCTCCCAAGAAAGAGAAAAAGGAGCACCTTGCCGGTGATCAAGGTGAGTGAGGGAGAGGCTCTCAGCTCATGTTTACTTTTTCATTCCAGAGCCAATATTAATCTGTGTTCCTGCATCATACAGCCAATGAGCTGATCATCGACTACCTCCGTCAACAGAACCGACCATATTCTGCTACAGGTAAGCCATATTTGCTCGCTTCTTTTGGAGTAATTTCCATCAGCTGGACATGGTGCTTGTTTTCAACTAATAGTAGTTAAGATGTTAGTGCAAACCTTCATAATGCAGTTACTAAGAGTTAGTATCAACTCCGGGGGGAATTAGACCCCTCCTTCTAAGTGGATGCGTCTTTATCTCTAGTTTTCAGTTACTGATAATAATAATAAAAAAAACGAGTAGCTGCTGCGGCAAAGATATTGAAAGAGCTCCACGAGAAAGGAGAAATCGAGGGAAGAGCTTCTGGAAAGCAGATAGTATATCACGCTATCCAGGTCTGCCACCTCTAGTTTCCTCTGAGCTGTGCAGGAATTACCTTGTCTGACTCATGAAAATATCTTGTAGGACCCTAATGATTTTGCGAGTACAGAAGACCTGAAGGCTATGGACGAGAAGATTACAGGTATGTATATCTGTTTCTTGCTTTGAGTATTTGTTCCCAGAGATACTCAATAGCTGAAGCTTCTATAGTGGCGGCGAGTGTGGCTAAATGAAACGTCTAGGTACCAAGCTCAAGATAGTCAAGGTGAAAGCTGAGCTCAAGTCACTCCAAGGCACCTTGAATACGCTCAAAGCAGCACCTACGGTTTCCTCACTCTGTGAGACTGTTGGTGTCCTTGAAACCGAGATTCAGAGGCTTGAGTCTTCCCTGAAGCCTATTAGAGCAGGCCCCATCAAGTCTATTTCTGCTAGTGAAAAGGCTGCCATGGATGTCGAGTATGTCAGGCTTGAGACGCTGCTGAGGCGGAGAAAGAAGACGTTCAAGGAATTCTGGGGGACAATTTGTGATGGCTGCGGGGATTTGAACCCCAGTGACCTTTGGGTAAGTCTGATCGTGATCACACTTCATGGACCTCTCATACTCGTACCACTCCTTTCTTTCTAGCGCCAACCCTATTTTTGATGTCTTTATGGATATCTTCTCCGGGACCTATCAGCTCCTTAGGTTTTCTTTGAAATACCTCTTTCTATCACTCAGCCCCTCTGATATCCATCGTTGTTTTTTATTTTATTTTTTCATGGTCGGACCATGTTGAAATACACCACGAAAAAGAGAGACAGTGTCGATCTTGAGCAGCGGTTATGTACATAGTTGCGCAAACCATTGGTCACGGACACTGTCTCTTTTGTCGAGAAATGTGGGGAAGCGGGTGATGGCGCCCGTTTACTTTTTCCTTGCCTTGTATTTTTCTTTTTGCGGCCTTGATCGTCCGGTTCTGACAGTGAGCAACTTCTTTAAACACTCTCTGTCGTGTTTCGGTGTTGGTCGGGGATGTTCCATGTTTTGTCTCGTTCGGCCCGAACGGGCTTTTATTGAGCTCTGCAGTTTTTTGCGAACCAGAAGAAGCATGTTCCCGCACGCATGCACATATGAACACGCACGTATATTTGCTAACCCTTGAAAAGGAACGCCTAGGTTTGGAAGGAGATCCTTGAAGCTCAAGGAGGCTTGGAGAAACGTTACTCAAGGCTGTTGACATGAGTTTAGAAAGGAAAACTCGGGGGTATTTAGTCCAAAAGACAGGTCTGTCCGGACCGGATAAAAACATGATCTGTAATATTATCATTTTCTAGGTACCGTACGATAATCCATTGAATTCTTCGTATTTTCATATTTTATAAGCATAGGCAGTAGATAACTCGACAATACTCTTCCTATTTTCGGTTGTGAATACCAGCCCCGGACAGGAGAATGTTTGGGGGGGGGGTCTAACGTGGGGGTCTAACTGACCGAAGCGAAGCTAGGAGAGCTTCCTCTCAAGCTCTACATTTTCACATTTTCACATGGGAAAAATCCTGGCAATCATGTCAGCTGAACACGAGTTTGAATTGGACGCCATCCGCGATGAACATTGCACTAGCAGCGAACTCTTTTGCACTTTAAAGAAGAGGTGAAAGTTCGGACGACAGGGAACCTATCCAAGATACCGAGATGAAAGGCAGATCCGGATCATTACTTGCGTGATAGATTTTAGTACGTTCCCCACGGCTTTACAGCAACCCAGCATTTGGAAAGCATTTTACTCTGACGTAGTAAGATTCAGTAGCTCCAAATCAGTGCCCTGCGATCGCGACGTTTCTGACAATAATCTATGAAACCAAAACAAGGCCGTATTCTGGTAAACGCGGCAAAGCCGTGCTTGCAGTATTATTGCTTAGGCGAGTGCTTGCAGTACCTGGCCTTCATGGTCCCTGCAGACTACGGTGGGCACATAGTAATCCCCAATGCAATCATCGATGCCGCTAGTAAAGTCCAAATGGAGATTTATTATCTCATGTACACTTGGATATTTGAGTGAGGCTGGAGAATATCACAAAAGCCCCTCTATTGTGTAACTACTGATATCCCAAGACCTCGAAGACGCCAATTAATTAGGATGACGTGTGGAGAACTGGTATGAATCACGAAGCTACTACTGTTTCGGTGCTGCAGGCCTACATATCATCTTGTCTGGATATCATCTGCTTGTTTGTAGATAAAGGAAGGTGCCGAAATCAAATCTAATGGTGGTCATCCAGAACCTCTAGCTGCAATGCCGTGGTCACCCGCAGTCGTCCCGCATATTGGAGGGTTTAAAGTATAAATAAATAAAATTAATAAAAAAAGTACGGGAAAAAAAGAAAAATAATTGAGAAGTAAGACGCCTCAGAAGTTCAGACGAAAGGAAATATTTCCATAGGCTCCCGCTTTCCGACCCTGTATATAATATATTACAGGGCATATGGAATTCTTTGCCGGATCTTCAACAGGCTTTCGGAGTCGATTATAGATTGATCATGTGCTTGGGAACAAGAGCTTGAGAACACACTCCCCCTTCACCGTGTCCCCCCACCCCATACTTCCGTACTTCCGTATCTGGGCTGTGGGTACATGTAACTATCCGGGTTAATCAATCCATTTAGAAACGTATTCGTGTGTTCCTGAGGTGAGGTACCAGATAAACTGTCTCATGAGAATGCCAAGCTCCCAGGAAAGCGATGAGCTCCACAACGTTCCCTTTGATATATCCTTTGAATCAAGATTGTTTTCTTTCTATTCGAGGACCATTTCCTCAGGACTACCGTTGATGGTGTCAGCAGACAAATGAGGTCTCTAGACCTCTCGGCAGTTTTTTCAGCTCCTCTCAACTCTCGGGCGGCCTATTCGTATATTGTGTTTGTAGAGTGAGTTACAAGGCTCCCATCCTCAAGAACACTCACACATTGCAGTTGCAATAGCTATGTAGTGATTTGCCTTCTGACTACCTACGTATAGACGCCATAAATCCTTCATTCAACGGAAGCCACATTGTGCGCCTTGCATTGACTGATCGGTTGATAAACTGACACTGGACTGCCCGGTAATTATTAGTGGTGTGCGAGTCCTGTTTATGGTCCTGTTCTCCTGTCTGTCTCCCGTGCTGTGTGGTCTGGTCATTCGTTATAACCTGTCTTGCGGCCTCCACCATCATCCATCTGGCACAGAAAAGGTTCCTGTATCTAGTCCCCTACGTTTCCAAATCTGTGTTTATTTTGGATTTCCCATTCTATCGGCAATCGTCTATCAGTCAATCCGCCCCCAACCAGGTATTCGTTTTACATTGGTGTATCTTATTTTTTTTGACTTTTGTACTTCCATCGCTTATCCTGTTTCTGTGTGTGGTGCGTATTCTTGTTTCTTGATCTTGTGTTTCCGAAACATCTGCTGGGTGGTGAGCTAAAAGGAATAACTGAGCAGTTAGTTGTTTGTTTGTTGTCGTTCAGTTGTGTGAAAGAAGTTAAAGAGGCAAAGGCAAAATAAGGCGGCAGAGAAGAAAAGAAAAAGGCTGTTGTGACTCGAGCCCCGCCGTTTTCTGTCCCTGATTGGTTGGTGTATATTCGGCGGCCCTTGCTAGCGCGGCTGTGAATCCTTTCCTGCTCCACCCCTCATCGGAATCCCTTCCCCTCAACCTCACGGAGTCCGAAAGTTGGGTGTGGACAGAGTCCCTGACCCCGCCAACCAGCTTCTCGTTGGGCCCTGATTCCTTAGTTACAGTCTTACCATTGGCCGACTTTGCCAGTGCCTCTGCAAATTGACTGGCACGCTGGCTGACTGGTACGTAGATTATTGATCAATTGATTGATTGATCGATCTGTTCCTGAGACGATAGACACATCGCTTGCCAGAGATTTCATTTTTTTTTTTTTATTTTATTTGTTCTTTACAATCATCTCTTCGTCTGTCTTGAAGTATTCGTTGTCGTTGCTTCTGCTTGCTACTTCCAGTACCAGTGCCAGTGCCACTAGTACTGCCACTACTGTAAACGCTACCGCTGCCATTGTCGGTCTTCCAATTCTCCCAGTTTTCCCGTTCACCATCCCATCTCCGTTACCACTGTCTTCCCGTCTGTCTGTCCGTCGTCCAGAAGAAGAAGAACGAGACCCGAGGAGACAGCCACGGCAACTACTGCTACCACATACCTGTCAACACAACATCAATAGCTACACAGCACTACCACAGCAGATCGAGAGAGCAGCAGAGGAGAGAGAGAAAAAAAACTCAGAGAGAGAAATAAAGGGGAAAATAAATTAGGGTTGCCGTTGCAAGAGGTCTCGACTCCTCGGGAAAGCGAAAATTCTACCCCCTCCCCCATTCCCCACACAGTAGAGTCGACTGTGACGTTAAAAGTCAACGAAAGTTCCTCTACCTCTCCCTCCTCCATCTTGCGCACCCGACACCACACAGTCAGTTAACCTCTCAAATCGCAATGACTGCCACCACTCCCTTCCCCTCACACGAGCAGCCACCAACCCAGCAAAAGGATTTGATCCATCCTCCTCCTCCTGCTCTTCCTCCCATGAACCTCCCGACAAGTCAACCCCAAGCCGTGAGCACACCCCCGGAGCAGCCCAATATGTACACCAGCAACAGTAGAGAAGGTAACAGAGATGGCAACCCCTCTGCTGGTCCCAATTCGCAGCAGCACTTCCGTCCTGGCAGCGGGAGGAGAAGCATGTCTGTTTCTCAACCACTTTCCGGCCAGCTCCCAACTCCCTCCAATGGAAACGCTACTGCTCCTGCAGGTCCAACGCCTGTTCCGCTCCAGCAACAACAGCAGCAGCCGCACGGGCAGCCGCCTGGTATCCCAATAGGACCTAACATGCCACCGTTTGATGCTTCCAGGAGTCCCCCGAGCAACAAGAGTAAGTCTTGCAATTATCTATTGGTGAAATGCTTGCTAATTGCGGAGCCGCAGATCTGAACCACGTGCCGTGCAAGTTCTTTAGACAAGGCGCCTGCCAGGCCGGAAAGGCATGTCCTTTCTCTCATAATCTTGATCCATCTACAGATCAGGCTCCTTGCAAGTACTTCTCAAAGGTAAGCGGCGCACAACTATGGAAAGGTTTTTTTGCTTTTAAGGAAGTTCGTGCTAATCAAGTTACCCGCACGAAATAGGGAAACTGCAAGTTCGGCATCAAGTGTGCTCTTGCCCACATTCTTCCTGATGGGCGCAAAATCAACAGGTCCAGTTTCAATAACGGCGGCGGTCATGGCCAGATCCAGTTTAGTCGTATGGACACCAGCCACACTAATCACAGATCGGCTCTCCATAATTCGCTGCTCCAGGCAAATATGATTCCGCACCACACTCCCAACCACAATTTCAACGGGGGAGACGACTTCAATGGGATCTCTAGCAATCAGTCTAACAACGGTGATAATATGTCGAGCTCGCTCCCAGGCGACTCTCCGCTTGACAACATTTCCACTTCTCAGAGGACATTGGGACCCTTGGATGCAACTCTCCCAGCTTCATTTGAGAGACATGATTTCTCGTTGTTTGCAAGGACTGGACCGTATGCCTCTTCAGTACCCAGCAAGTTCGGAATGGAGTCTCCACCACCTTCTTTGTCTAATGGGCGCAATGGTGTCTTGGCTTCTCTCTACATCTCGGCTTTCGGGGACGAAGAAAGCAGCATTGGCGGAGGATTGTCTCGTTCCCCTAGGGTAAATGGCGAGGATTCTTTGGGTCAAAGAATCATGCACTCGTCTATGTCTTCAAGGCGCCAGAAGCTTCTCCCAGCTAGTTACGCTAGAGCAGAGAATATGGAAAGGATGCTTGGCGAGAGGTTTCGTAAGGATAACGTCTCAGATGCAGACTTTGCATTCGAGGAAGACTTCGTTCCAAGCAGCCTCAATGAGCTTCTCACACCAGCTGAGCGGAGCAGAAGACTTTCCAGGACAGATGAGGAGGGAGTTTCTAGCTTCCGTCACAGCTTGACCGCGCCTGGAACACCTGCGGACCCCGGCGTTATCGGATCACCACCTGTTGGCTCACCAAGCGGTGGCGGTGGCTGGGGACCGATCGTCATGAGAACAAAACGTGATGATCATGAGGCCCCAACTCCCAGCCTTGGTCATGTTGGTTCCCCACTTAGAAATTCCTACCATCACGGCGATTCCAGCCCGACTTTCCGCTCCCTCGCCCTTGGACGTGAAACTTCCCCTTACCCTGGATCACCCACCCGGGGAAGCTTCGGCGGTGTCTCTACACTCACTCAGACTATGCAACGTGCTAGGCTCTCGTCTACCAGGAGTGACCCATATGATCTACCTACTGTCTCGAAGTCTCTAGGTCCTACCGGAAAACAGATGGAGAGGGCCATGTCCTCTTCACACTCAAGCAACAAGGGCGTTGCGTCAATTGATGAGGAACCCGAGACCCAATTCTTGATGGAGGACGAGGATGAAACTTCAAGCAGCCGTCCGATCATGATTGGCGGTACTGGGCGTAGCTCAGGGTTGGGACTCGAGGTTAGCCAACAGCAATGGGAAGGATTTGGATCCCATCGTTAAACCTCTGGATTTCACATGACCTTTATGATTCATTTTTCCGTCATAACTTATACAGATTTCATATTAGGCCATGTGCTTTTGGCTTGGTGCGATTTCTTACTTTCTTTTTCTTACGGTATATGGAGCGGAATCAAAAAAATCTTTCCAGGGGGCAAGGGGAAAATGGGGGGATCTAAAATTATCGGTTGGCGGAGTTATTTGATTGTTTTGTATGAGTTTCAAATTCTTTTTCTGCCTGTTAATTCCCGCTTTTTTTTCTATTCAAAATTACCATGCATGATCGTGTCTTATGAATACTTGAGGTTGTATTTTCTCTCTCCTTCTCTCAAGTAGTTGTTTCCGTACCTTTTATCCTTCATCACGTCTATCAGAAGCATTTATAAGCATGATCTTTTTCAGTTTTGCATCTTTTTGTGTGCCATTCCTGATTTCATCAATTAAGCAGCGGTTAGAAATTTGTTTTTATGATAGTAACGATAATTATTCCCTTTCTTTTATTTTTCCTCTATGGAAGTCTTTTTTGATATTTTTTCGAGTCTGGGAAACACGTTTGAGGGTATATCATGATGAGTTGACTTCACAGCTTGGGATGTGTACATGAAATGAATCTTCCTTTTTTCTCTCTTTTCTCTTCTACATACCTGTTATAGATTGCATTTTTCTCTCTTTCTACTCTCTGGGGTTTGGTGTGTATGCAGTGCGCACGAAAAGAAAAGAAAAGAAAACTCGGGCGAAGACATACATACACCCGCCTCGTTCTTTTCCATTCCTGCGTGCCTCTTCTTCATATTCTCTGCGCATGTATACCACGTCCCCCACATGTCTCTACAAGTACGTTAGCTAGCTTTGTAGTTGCGCGTCTCAATACCAATCTCGGTTTCTTAACGTAACGTTGCGCAAACTGCAAGTGGCCCCACCCATGCTTACGGCAACCAAGTACCACATGCAATGGGAACCTGCACGTCACCGGCGGGGAAACGTGGGGAAGGTGCTGGGGATACCGGGAGAATCGTGTACTCCTAGAAAGGCGAGTCGTAACCCCTAATAAGGTGGTGTAACGAAGGCAGAGTCTGGGCCTATTGGGTCCCTCCCCCGAAGGTTAAATGGTGCGAAATATTGGGCAGGTAAGAGGTATGACACTGGAATTGGGACTAGCATCTGTAAGTGCAAGTTAATTAGATCGGCATGTTGTATCAGTACTATTGCTTCTGAGTAGGTTAGAAGTGTGTCTCTATAATGAGGGCCGTAATCCACCATGTTAAATCAAAATTCGGCTCCAACCATGATTCTGGCGAATGCACCACTCAGAAACCGCCTAATATCTCTCTCGCCAACTTTCTCATGCCGACGGCAACCGGCATGAGATTCGCCGTCATAATCGATCACTCGGAAATTAACCGAGTGATTCATGGTGAACCAATGCGGTTGCGGTCAGAGCTCCCCAAGCCATCAGTGGAGGCAACAGAGCAATAAAACTCTACGCCCTGGAAATGTGTGTTGGATAAACTTGATGTAGTGGTGAGTTACACCAGCGATGAAAGGTGTCTAATATCGGGTGACTCTACCTGTAGTTATTAAGAGCTGAGGAGAGGTAATGACTGTGATTTATCCATAGCTGCGGGCAGGAGCTTAGCACTCTTAGGTTCTGACCGTGCTGGAAAATCAGTAGAGTTGTCTCTGTAGACTGGGGAGCTTGATGCGCACTTACTTGAGTTGTGAACCTAAGAGGCCGGATGGAGTTCCTCGATGGAGTAGGACGCGCCGTGATGAAGAAGGGTGAGTCTTATTCTGTACTCAGCCCATGAATACCCACTTGTGACCGATTTCATCTCGCCAGTAGTATGGATAGGGTGTTGGATCGTCATGGATTCTGCTGGTAGCACCCGTTTCCACCTCTGAAGGGCTCTCGTGGGTGGGTGTTCTGTGTCTGCCTCGTGGGAGGCGTGCTGCTGTCCATTTGATGGAAGTATGTATGTGTCCTCTCCTAATTTCTGTTCTTCTCGGCTCTGTTGACGTGGTTGATGACCGGGCTTCTGGCTTCTTTAACAGCTTTCGTTGGCGGGGTTCTTGTGATGATTCTTTGCGAAGGCATATTGGTTCGCTGTGGTAGAGGAGGGAAGATGGCGAGTGTAAGTGTGTATGGGAGTGTGAATGACTAGCGATGTGGACACCGTCAAGAAAGCCACAAGAACGAGAAGGTATGGTGCTGACGGTAGCAAGGAACGCTGTCCGCTCTTAAGGCCCCCAAACTCCCTTCGCAGGAATGCCATAAGACTGCTCTTTGTTTCTCTTTTCATTCTAGAATTGGGCGGTAGATACGCGAGGGTTTCAATCTTGAATAAAAACAGGATTAATAAAAAGCATTACTCGCTTACCCTTAACTACAATAAAGAGGCTCGCTACCACGAGCCCACCGTAAGTATTGGTTCGTACGTAGGAACGTATTGAGGTCTCCTTTTCTCTCCCTCTCTTTTCGTTTGATAATTGACAAACACATATATTGTACGAGGGCTCAAGTCTTACGAAGTAGTATTAATCAGAAAATACTCGTCCCAAGTTGACGTGCTAAACCGTCCTTTCTTGTCACCGTTGCCTCCTGCCGTCGCGTCGCCGTTAACGAAGAGTCTCGTAGAATAAAATTGACAAATACGAGTGGATTACCCAAAACTGGTCAACGCTCGTAGGTGTATTTTTTCTTCGGATTCGATATCATGGCCAGTATAGCTACGTATACATATAAAAATAAATAACGCAACACAACTAATTTGTTGTTGGTTCGGAGCACCGTAAAGTACGAGGAGTTCGTCGGGTAGGAGTATGTGAACCAACGAACGCTTTGCCAACGAAGAAGCTCAATTTGATGCTCACGAGCCCACGAAAAAACAACCTTTATCTGCCTCCACGCGTAAGAGGAGGTTTTGGAAAACCTTAAATTCTTTTTTATAGTTTCGTCATCGCTAGTATATGTGCCTAACTGCCGCGGAGCCGCAAAACCGCCAAAGAGTTGCCAAGCAGAAGTATATTCGCTCAGAGCTATGAGTTAAAGTACAAGCATTTTCCCGCCTACCATGTTTCATTTCTCAAACTTCCCCTTGGCCTTTTAATTCTCATTCCCCATGATCACTTTCTAACACATGCTGCCAGTGACTACTTCATTCAGGCAATTTCCCCATACTTCAAGACATACTCCTGATTGACCCATTGCTCAATAGCCTCATTACCAATAGCAAGAAGTTCTACATTCTTCCTGGCCTTTCTTTTAAGCATAGACTTACGCCAGGCCATACGGGTTTTATCCAGATTCTCCTTGCAATATTTGGCACAAATTTTCTTTTCAGCTTCAGAAGTAATATCTATTTGAAAACATTTGAGAAACAGACTATACTATAGATTTCAAATACTTACTATGAGTTGCCATTTCAGCTGCATGAACATCAAAGTGTGCATCCTCAAAAGCAACTGCAAGTTCTACCTTCAAGTTCTTTTTTCTTTTTCTCTGCAACCACTGGCAAGAGGTTCTGTTGCTTATAAGTTGTTGTCCAACTTTTTAGTAATATCATTGGAGCTTTGGCTATAATCAGCATTATTTTCATCAGCGTCATTATTCGATTTAATCAAATCAGATTCTCGAGCTTCAAAATCTCCGCACTTGATCGCTTTATGCTTCAAGTTGTAGAAACGCAGGTTATGGATGTAATTTTTTTCTGCACATTTGAATATCGTCATTGGTGAATTTTTGTTACATCCACTTATAGGGCAGATAATTACGGTTGGTGGAGGGGGTTCAACAATTGGAATGTTTTTAAACCATTTGATGCGATCAAGGGTAATATTTTTTTTATTGTCACAGTTATTTGTAGCTGAGTCAGAGTTACTGGTAGCAGTTGTTAAAATATTATTGTCAGCATTGACAATTTATTATCAGTATCATAATCAGTGATAAAGGTGTTAATAAAATTGGTGTTTGGTTGAAATGCCATCTTTAAAATAATGTTGGGAGAAAAAGGTGGTGATAGGGAAGTTAAGGGTTGGTGGTGAAATTTCGAAAATTTCTAAGAAAGATAAGGATTCGAGGGGATGGTAGATGCTGGGAGATAAGCTCCTTTTATAGTTTCAGCTAGGTGTGTTTTGCTAACCTGAGATTCAGGATACATATCCATCATGTATGCATTCTCAACATGTATATTATAGTTTTAACATACCATTACTACAGAATAATTTGCAGAGAAGCTGTTTGCCCTGGAATGTATGTTCTTATTTGCATATTAAAAACCTATTCATACTTGTTTTGTATATGGTTGAACTTTCGGAAACTCTCACTTACACTATTACCTCCCTTCCCTTACAATTATGCTCTCGCCCCCCAAAACCGGAACACCCTTGCTCATGCAGTTATAGGTGACGTATTATCACATTACACCACGATCAAAAATGACACCGGAAAGCTTATTTTCTTCCTATACGAGCCTAAAAACATTACAATAGTTTTGGTGCCTGTCTACTGCCAGCAGCTACAATAATTCTCATAGGAATGACCTCATTGGTGTCGACAGACGATCTCGTTTTATCATTTATACTCGCTTATGCTTTTTCCCCAATGGATTAGTCGCGGTCTCCCTCCGAGGACTGTTTTTTTCTTCTTGTTTTTTTGGTGCCCCGTGGTTGGTTAATTGGCCTGGATTCCGCGTAACGCGCTGACGTTTTTTTTTTTGAATGGAAGCCGCGTCACAGCTTGGGAACCATTAGTATTCGTCGACCTCGTAGATAAACGAGCCTATTACCGTCTACGAGGTAGAAGCTCCCTGTTCGCTTTATTTCTTCGTTATAAGTACTAGAGATTAAACGTCGAGCGGGTCCTGATTTGAATAGAGTAACTGTATACGACGGTTCCATTCGTAGTAACTACATACTCCCTCTGTTGCCTTCAAATGGATCATCTGCTCACCTCATCATCTCCTGCCCGCTCTTCTTCCCTCTCCTCTTCGACGAGGTCTTTTCGA